AATACAAGTGCTAACTTCATGATTGAGCAGCGACACACACAACACAAGTGCCTTATGTCATGATTGAGCAAGAACATACAAAACTAGTGCTTCATGATTGAGCAGGAACACAACACAAGTGCCGTATGTCATGATTGAGCAAGAACATACAAAACTAGTGCTTACTTCATGATTGAGCAGGAACACACGACACAAGTGCCTTATGTCATGATTGAGCAATGACATACACAACACAAGTGCCTTATGTCATGATTGAGCAAGAACATACAAAACTAGTGCTTACTTCATGATTGAGCAGGAACACACAACACAAGTGCCTTATGCCATGATTGAGCAATGACATACACAACACAAGTGCCTTATGTCATGATTGAGCAAGAACATACAAAACTAGTGCTTACTTCATGATTGAGCAGGAACACACAACACAAGTGCCTTATGCCATGATTGAGCAATGACATACACAACACAAGTGCATTATGTCATGATTGAGCAAGGACACACACAACACAAGTGCTTACTTCATGATTGAGCAGGAACACACAACACAAGTGCCTTATGCCATGATTGAGCAATGACATACACAACACAAGTGCATTATGTCATGATTGAGCAAGGACACACACAACACAAGTGCTTACTTCATGATTGAGCAGGAACACACAACACAAGTGCCTTATGTCATGATTAAGCAAGAACACACACAACACAAGTCCTCACTTCATGATTGAGCAAGAACATACAAAACTAGTGCTAACTTCATGATTGAGCAAGAACACACACAACACAAGTGCCTTATGTCATGATTTAGCAAGGACATACACAACAGAAGTGCTCACTTCATGATTGAGCAGGAACACACAACACAAGTGCCTTATGTCATGATTGAGCAGGAACTCACACAACACAGGTGCCTTATGTCATGATTGAGCAAGAACACACACAACACAAGTCCTCACTTCATGATTGAGCAAGAACATACAAAACTAGTGCTAACTTCATGATTGAGCAAGAACACACACAACACAAGTGCCTTATGTCATGATTTAGCAAGGACATACACAACAGAAGTGCTCACTTCATGATTGAGCAGGAACACACAACACAAGTGCCTTATGTCATGATTTAGCAAGGACATACACAACAGAAGTGCTCACTTCATGATTGAGCAGGAACACACAACACAAGTGCCTTATGTCATGATTAAGCAAGAACACACACAACACAAGTCCTCACTTCATGATTGAGCAAGAACATACAAAACTAGTGCTAACTTCATGATTGAGCAAGAACACACACAACACAAGTGCCTTATGTCATGATTTAGCAAGGACATACACAACAGAAGTGCTCACTTCATGATTGAGCAGGAACACACAACACAAGTGCCTTATGTCATGATTGAGCAGGAACTCACACAACACAGGTGCCTTATGTCATGATTGAGCAAGAACACACACAACACAAGTCCTCACTTCATGATTGAGCAAGAACATACAAAACTAGTGCTAACTTCATGATTGAGCAAGAACACACACAACACAAGTGCCTTATGTCATGATTTAGCAAGGACATACACAACAGAAGTGCTCACTTCATGATTGAGCAGGAACACACAACACAAGTGCCTTATGTCATGATTTAGCAAGGACATACACAACAGAAGTGCTCACTTCATGATTGAGCAGGAACTCACACAACACAAGTGCCTTATGTCATGATTGAGCAGGAACACACAACACAAGTGCCTTATGTCATGATTGAGCAGGAACTCACACAACACAAGTGCCTTATGTCATGATTGAGCAGGAACACACAACACAAGTGCCTTATGTCATGATTGAGCAGGAACTCACACAACACAAGTGCCTTATGTCATGATTGAGCAGGAACACACAACACAAGTGCCTTGTGTCATGATTGAGCAATGACATGATTGATATAGTTGGTTTATTGAGTCTAGCAACAACTACACTGTGCAGGAAATAGTGACACATGGCACTGGGAATCTCTTCTCTGTTGAAGCACAAGCCATGGACCCATATGGCATGGTTTTGCTGGGGCCATGGTGTTGCTGTATAACTGAAGACATCGTGGGTGTCCCTGTGTTGAATCAGTATTGGTGTGCCGCCAACATTTTGTCTGATCAGTAGTCATAAGCTCTGAATCCATTTGGGAGGTTTTGTTTGTGGTGGTTTAAAGTCTAGAGTGTTTGCCTTTAGGATATGAAGTTTCGGGACAACCTCAACTAATCTCAGTGACTGTTGTGTGATAACACCTTATGTTAGGGCTAGGGTTGAAATTTTATTTCTTGTGTTCAGTCAGTAAACAAGTTAGTTTTCATTGAGGACAAGAGTCAAGTAGCTTGTGGGTTTCAGCCAGGACTCCTGGGACTTGCGTCATGAGCAGTTTCTTCTTTGAGAGACACTGAGTAGGTTGGATATGTCTGCAATCTTGTTGAAATCTGTTAACTAGTTGTTGCTCACTGCAGACTTGTCCAGATACAGTTGACACATGAGGCTGGCTGAGATGGTATGAATAAACTACTGTTAAACTAACTCATAACCACTTAGTTTTCAACTTTTTCCATACCACAACATATCCTCACTGGAAACTATTTACACAAATATCAGTCAAGTTAGTGTTTTCTTTGCCATGTTATTATCCTAATTCCTATGTTAAGCTTGTTTATTTAACTCAAATTATTTACCATGCCTTGAAGTAACCACACCTGCCAGTCTTCACCAAAGCTCTGTCATTAACTGCTCTGCACATTTGCACGTGTTAACTAAAGGGAAGTTACTCAGTAGGGTTATAGCAAATTACCTCCCCTTGCTCCATTATGTCATATGTAATTACCAAATTTCTTTGGTCGATAGACACATTTGTTTATGTTAGTGTCTTCATATGCCTGTTTCATTATTTGTATACTACTCAACTTTTGACAGGGATACAGACATTTTTCATACTCATTACTGGTAGGTGTATGTTTGATTTTGAAATGATCTTGCTGAGACGAAACAGTTCGTCAGTAGACAACAATTAGCTCTTAGTTTAGGCATTTGGGGAAGTTGTTGTAGAAATGACAGGTAGGTGGTTGTCATCATCAACTTGGTTTAGATTTTAGTTTAATAAAGTTATTGTAAAGTATTTTTAACGCCATCCATGCACGATCTCAGCGTATTAGGAAAAGAAACGTGGGGATTTTTCAAGCAGATGTAAAAAGTGTAATGTTGGATGATTACTGTTATATTTTCCATTCTCCTTATGATGGAAATGTGATTAATACCTTTTGTTATTGCAACTAGAAACAACATAATATGGTAACAATTGATTACTTTTGTTTTTCTATTTGCACGTCAGAATCTAAATGGATTTTGCAGAGCCCAATGTATTGCCTTATGGTGTCTGCCGATACTCTGACCTGTGCCCTTATGCTATAACCATAATAGTTCAGAAAATTAACACGTACCACTTTATTACACAATGTATACGAATTCAGCAAACTTAATATCTTGAACAATAATACTATATCCCAATCAAAAGTTGAGTGGTATGGATGTCTTTATCTGTCTCATAGAGTCCATTTGTGCAAGAAAATGTGAAAACAAATTTAATTATGTGACATTTACCAGCATATATATGAAATGTCTCAACATGTTGCTGCCACTTGCTATAAAAGGGGCAGTCTGGTAGCCTAGTGGTTAAAGCGTTTTGCTCGTCACGCCGAAGACCCGGGTTCGATTCCCGACATGGGTACAATGTGTGAAGCCCATTTCTGGTGTTCCCCGCCGTGATATTGCTGGAATATTGCTATAAGCGGCGTAAAACCAAACTCTTAGCTCTTACTTTAGGCATTTGGGAAGTTGATGTAGAAATGACAGGTAGGTGGTTGTCATCATCAACTTGATTTAGATTTTAGTTTAATAATTGTTAAGTATTTTTATAAAAGGGGCAGTCGGGTAACCTAGTGGTTTAAGCGTTTGCTCGTCACGCCGAAACCCGGGTTCAATTCCCGACATGGGTACAATGTGTGAAGCCCATTTCTGGTGTCCCCCGCCGTGATACTCACTCACTCACTTGCTATAGAAGGCGCCTATCTTGGAGTCAATGGTTTCAGTATCTGCTGTGTGACCAGTACATGATGGGTGACCAGCAGGGACGACCACAACACCCTCGCCACATTATTCGCCACTACCCTGATGGTGTTTCTCTTAATGGAATGCTCTCACTAATTAACACGGTTATTGATAACTACATGTACCATATTCGATGTAATAAGCGCCCAGGGTATTTTTATAAAAGGGGCAGTCGGGTAACCTAGTGGTTTAAGCGTTTGCTCGTCACGCCGAAACCCGGGTTCAATTCCCGACATGGGTACAATGTGTGAAGCCCATTTCTGGTGTCCCCCGCCGTGATACTCACTCACTCACTTGCTATAGAAGGCGCCTATCTTGGAGTCAATGGTTTCAGTGTCTGCTGTGTGACCAGTACATGATGGGTGACCAGCAGGGACGACCACAACACCCTCGCCACATTATTTGCCACTACCCTGATGGTGTTTCTCTTAATGGAATGCTCTCACTAATTAACACGGTTATTGATAACTACATGTACCATATTCGATGTAATAAGCGCCCAGGGCTCTCTCAAAATTAGAAATAGGGGGCTCTAATTAAAATATTATTTTGGTGAAAATATCAGAGTTGAAAAATATATTTATGCTGACAGCCTGAAATGTTTATATACGACAGATGTATTTTTCCAGAATTTAATTGCCCATAATTAAGGGTGCATAAATAAGTCTTCAATCGGAAGGGGTGCCAATTGGGATTGTTCACCAACCAATATATTTGCAAATATCGCCGTGGGCGCTTATTAGAGCGGGGCGCTTATTACGTCAAATACAGTAATAATGTGAAATGTTGAGATTCATGTTGACAGGTTTCATATCCCAGCTTCCATTCGACCATGCTAATTCCTCTCGGCCATGTTTTCAGACATTTCTGTGTCTGGAGGAGCTGGATGAGAGCTCACTGGTGGAGAAGTCCGAGGATCATGACAGACCCCCCGTGGACCAGTGTTTTGTCAATATTGATAACGTGACAGCCAAGTGGGATAAGGTATGATGGACACCTAGTTGACCAGTGTTTTATCAATATTGATAATGTGACAGCCAAGTGGGATAAGGTATGATGGACACCTAGTTGACCAGTGTTTTATCAATATTGATAATGTGACAGCCAAGTGGGATAAGGTATGATGGACACCCAGTTGACCAGTGTTTTGTCAATATTGATAATGTGACAGCCAAGTGGGATAAGGTATGATGGACCCCCAGTTGACCATTGTTTTGTCAATATTGATAACGTGACAGCCAAGTGGGATAAGGTATGATGGACCCCCAGTGGATCAGTGTTTTGTCAATATTGATAATGTGACAGCCAAGTGGGATAAGGTATGATGGACACCCAGTTGACCAGTGTTTTGTCAATATTGATAGCATTATCACCATGTGGATAAGTTTAATATCTTAAAAAATTATTTTTTTTCAGAATGTTGATCAAAATACACTGGACAAGATCTCTGCCAGTGTGAAGGCCGGTGAGCTGCTTGCGGTGATCGGCCCTGTTGGGGCAGGCAAGGTGGGTTAGAACTGTGATCGGCTTAGTAGAGACAGGCGAGGTGGGTTAGAACTGTGATAGACCTGTTGGGGCGGGTGAGGTGGGTTAGAACTGTAATAGGCCGTGTTGAGGCACGCAAGGTGGGTTAGAACTGTGATAGACCTGTTGGGGCGGGTGAGGTGGGTTAGAACTGTGATAGGCCGTGTTGAGGCAGGCAAGGTGGGTTAGAACTGTGATAGGCCCTGTTGGGGCAGGCAAGGTGGGTTAGAACTGTGATAGACCTGTTGGGGCAGGCAAGGTGGGTTAGAACTGTGATAGACCTGTTGGGGCGGGTGAGGTGGGTTAGAACTGTGATAGGCCGTGTTGAGGCAGGCAAGGTGGGTTAGAACTGTGATAGGCCCTGTTGGGGCAGGCAAGGTGGGTTAGAACTGTGATAGGCCCTGTTGGGGCAGGCAAGGTGGGTTAGAACTGTGATAGGCTTAGTAGAGACAGGCGAGGTGGGTTAGAACTGTGATAGACCTGCTGGGGTGGGCGAGGTGGGTTAGAACTGTGATAGACCTGTTGGGGCAGGCAAGGTGGGTTAGAACTGTGATCGGCCCTGTTGGGGTGGGCAAGGTGGGTTAGAACTGTGATAGGCTTAGTAGAGACAGGCGAGGTGGGTTAGAACTGTGATAGACCTGTTGGGGTGGGCAAGGTGGGTTAGTGCTGTGATCGGCCCTGTTGGGGCAGGCAAGGTGGGTTAGAACTGTGATCGGCCCTGTTGGGGCAGGCACGTAAGGTTAGAACTGTGATAGGCCCTGTTGGGGCAGGCAAGGTGGGTTAGTGCTGTGATCGGCCCTGTTGGGGCAGGCAAGGTGGGTTAGAACTGTGATAGGCCGTGTTGAGGCAGGCAAGGTGGGTTAGAACTGTGATAGGCCCTGTTGGGGCAGGCAAGGTGGGTTAGAACTGTGATAGACCTGTTGGGGCGGGCAAGGTGGGTTAGAACTGTGATTGGCCCTGTTGGGGTGGGCAAGGTGGGTTAGAACTGTGATTGGCCCTGTTGGGGCAGGCAAGGTGGGTTAGAACTGTGATAGCCCTGTTGGGGTGGGCAAGGTGGGTTAGAACTGTTATCGGCCCTGTTGGGGCAGGCAAGGTGGGTTAGAACTGTGATAGACCTGTTGGGGTGGGCAAGGTGGGTTAGAACTGTGATTGGCCCTGTTGGGGCAGGCAAGGTGGGTTAGAACTGTGATTGGCCATGTTGGGGTAGGCAAGGTGGGTTAGAACTGTGATAGACCTGTTGGGGCAGGTGAGGTGGGTTAGAACTGTGATAGACCTGTTGGGGCAGTTGAGGTGGGTTAGAACTGTGATCGGCCATGTTGGGGTAGGCAAGGTGGGTTAGAACTGTGATTATTGAATGCAGAAGTTTGTGCTGCAATACTGTGTAATTTTTCTCTGTTTGTCTTTTTCCTTAATCCCTGGTGTACTGTGCATATCACTTCCCTTCTATTACAGTCCTCGCTGCTTATGTCTATTCTTGGTGAGCTACCAACATCAGAAGGGAAGATTCAGGTCAAGGGCAAGATTGCCTATGTGTCTCAGCAGCCTTGGGTGTTTTCAGCAAGTGTGCGTCAGAATGTGACGATGGGGGAACTATTTGATGCAACTCTATATGAAAAGTCTCTGCGCGCTTGTGCTCTCAAGAAGGTAGGGGAAATGCAAACGATCAAAGTTTCAATTCAGAAAAATAATTACAGTAAACCACGTTTATAACGAACACGCTTATAACGAACTGACGGATATAACAAACTTACTTTTTTGTCCCGACTATTTGCTGTAGTTATGCTGTATATATGCTTATAACGAACTACGGTTATAACGAACTAAAATTAGAGGTCCCTTTGAGTTCGTTATAACCGTAGTTTACTGTATGACTTTGTAAAATTAGGCTACCTCTAATTCGGAGGTAATCTTGTAGTATCTGCCTTATCTTTTCTCATCTTCATCGTTCTGTGAATTATGAAGCCTCTCATGACTTGGAAATCTGATAAACTAAATCAATAGAAAATGTTCAAATGTACAATTATATTTTTTGCAAGGTCAAACATGCACGGAATAAATTCAGAATGTTGTTTTCTCTCCATGAAGGTAATCAATTAAAATCAGTTATTTTCAAGGTGTTCTTAAAACAAACATGATACGAAGTAATTAACAACATGTTCATTCCGTGTGCCATTTGTGTGTGTACAGGATGTTGGGATTATGCCGCACGGTGACAGCACCCGGATTGGTGACCGAGGGGTCAGCTTAAGTGGAGGTCAGAGGGCAAGGGTGAACCTGGCCCGGGCTCTCTACACCGATGCTGACATCTACCTCCTGGATGACCCCCTCAGTGCTGTAGATGCTGCCGTGGGACGCCACATATTTGAAAAGTAATGTTTCCTAGATATCAATTAGAAAGAAACTATCTCGTATAAAACTGATGCTGTCCAATGTGAAATGTTGATTTGATTTGATTTGCTGTTGATTTTCTCTGGATAGTATGTTAGGCAGTGTTCACAATTACTCTGAAGGCCACTAATGAAGGCTGTGTTTAACTGTAGTCACACAAACTGATGGTAGTAAAACTGATTTTACCCCCATGTACTCTATATTATATTCCCAGATCTTGATTACTAAACATCCGGTTCTTTGTCTTTGTGTTGAGTGATAATTCCGTTCTTACCTCTTGCTGTAGTCCTCAATCTTTCTTTCTCCAAACATTCTAAACAGATTTATATTGGGTGAAACTGACTTTACCCGCATGTACTCTATATTATCTTCCCTCAGATGTTGATTACTAAACATTCTAAACAGATTTATATTGGGTAAAGGGCTGTGATGAAAAGATAATGATTTATGAGCACTGTCAGATTTAGGCAAATAATTGCACCTTCCTGTGGTGAACATACATGCACAGAAACAATGCCTGATAGGTGTTGTCAACTTCAGTAAACATTTGCAAGTTAAGGGGTGAGAAAAAGCAGCAATCATTCTTTCACAAACACCAAGTTAATATTCCGAAATTCCTGCATGTTATATGCATGCATTGTGCTCCCTGCTGGGATGATTCTGAAAGATTGGACTGTTCAGTCTTTGAAAGGAATTAAGAAGCGATACACATAAGGAAGAGAATTTATGGATGTCAGCTTCTTTATTATGAGGAACACGTTTCGGAGTATATCATTCACCTGATGAAGGAGTGAGTACATACTCTGAAACATTGTGTTCTTCATAAGATAGAAGTTGACATCTATAAATTCTCTTCCTAATGATTAGACTGTTGTTCTGCACTGTGTCATCTTGTCTACCTGTTGTTGTGCACTGTGTCATCTTGTCTACCTGTTGTTCTGCACTGTTTCATCTTGTCTACCTGTTGTTCTGCACTGTTTCATCTTGTCTACCTGTTGTTCTGCACTGTTTCATCTTGTCTACCTGTTGTTGTGCACTGTGTCATCTTGTCTACCTGTTGTTGTGCACTGTGTCATCTTGTCTACCTGTTGTTCTGCACTGTTTCATCTTGTCTACCTGTTGTTCTGCACTGTTTCATCTTGTCTACCTGTTGTTCTGCACTGTGTCATCTTGTCTACCTGTTGATGTGCACTGTGTCATCTTGTCTACCTTTCTGCACTGTGTCATCTTGTCTACCTGTTGTTGTGCACTGTGTCATCTTGTCTACCTGTTGTTCTGCAGGTGTATCCAGGGTACACTCAAGAAGAAGCCACGGATCCTGGTGACTCACCAGGTGCAATACCTCAAGGAGGCAGACCAGATCCTCATCCTCAAGGAGGTGAGTCTCCATGGACCTGTCATACCCATTCACTTCATCATCACATTTTACTAATCTCAGTGACTATGTTTGTCGTAAGAGGCGACAAACGGGATAGGGTGGTCAGGCTCGCTGACTTGGTTGATGCATGTCATCATATCCCAATTGTGTGGATGGATGCTCATGAAGTCAATCACTGGATTGCCTGGTCCAGACTTGATTCTTTACAGAACGCCGTCATACAGCTGGAATATTGCTGAGTGCGGCTTCAAACAAACAAACTAACAAACAATCTCAGTACTCTTTTTCACCTCCTGCATAGGAATTCATTATCTACACACGTGCTAGGGTGCAACAATCCTCAGTATTCAGGATTCCTAATCTCTATTTCCTTGGTTGATTAAATTATTAGCTTAGGTGAGCTTATGCCATACCATGGCGTTCGTCCATCGTCTGTCCGTCATCCATACGTCAACAATTTATTCAAATGACTTCTTCTCCTGAACCACAAATTGGACTGTCCCTTCTGTTCATGTCCGGCACTCCCAAAGGAGTAAGAACCTTAATCATAACATGCAAACCGATATTATCCCCACCCTATAATAAACAGATTCATTGTATACATTTGTTTCTTATGAAGAAAATAATACCTTTAACATGATTAATCCTGGAGCATAACATGAAAAGGGTTCAGATCTTTATGCTACATTTGTATCTAGAGAAATACACGTTCATGCTGTCATATTTGCCATCCACCCATTTTAAATGCTGACAGAGTCAAAATATATTGCAGTATTATATTATACAATGTACAATGCAAATGTATATTTTGTCATGATTGCGTAAATATCCAGGTGAGCGATACAGGCCCCATGGGCCTCTTGTTATATCTACGTGGTCTTACGGCTGTGAAAAGTGGCATTGAATGTTGCCCCTCATACTGTACTGAGCATGTACCTGCTACATAGATCTTGATCTGTTGGCTCATTCTCGTCAAGGGGGCATGGCTGGCCCAGTTGTCCTAGGAGCCGTGATTCGCTGTGCAGAGTTGCATCCCTTGGGCACGCCAGCAGCCTATGCCTATCCCTTCGGGCTTTCCTCCCACATTAAGCTGACACGCCATAATATGACTGAAACACTGTTAAAAGCGGCATTAAACCCAACTCACACACACTCATTCTCCTCCAATCTGTTCAGGCTGGAGAGAGTATAAAAGACTGTCTAGTGTATTCTGTTGGATGAAGAGCCATCAAATCTGAAACATGTTTTCACCCAAATAATGAAAATCTAAAGGAAAAGTTTGTAAAAACGTGTTACTTGGGTAACTTGTTTAGTGTGTAACACTGATCTTAGCAAAGCACTTCACCTTGCAAACAGGGCATTTCTGCATAGTGAAAAACTGAGCTTGTGTTCATGTAATGTCAGCTATTCCATGACTGTATCTGCAGGGCAAGCTACTGGGTACAGGGACGTTTGAAGAACTGTCCAAGTCGGGCATTGACTTTGCCTCCCTTCTGAAACACGATGACGAGGATGAAGATGACTCCGCGGTGATGATGTTGCCTGACACCGTCTCCACCTCCCATGTCAACTTCAACGAGCTTGGGTCCTCTCTATCCCTCGCCTCCATTGCCTCAGACTTTGTGGTAAGGGCTCGGGATGATTCACTGTAATCTTATCTATTCACTATCAGCTGCTGGGTGGGCTGTGCCATGCCCAGGACACATCCTACAACTGATCTCCGAATAATTATCCATGTCACACAACCATATTGTGTAGAGAAAACCATTAGTCCTTCCATATTTTCACTAGCTCTATAACTAGTTGTTTAGTGGTCATGTCTGTCCCTGATGAACACGGTCACCATGGTTAACTGGGGGCATTGGTAACCCTGGTGTCTTGTGGCCATGCCTTTGCCTGAACAAGACGGTAACCCCAGTTTAGAGGGGGCATTGGTAGCGGCAAGCTAGTGTGCTATAACATGAAGCTAAATTGATCTTCAGATGTATCAAAATAGACTCTACTCTTTCAGCCAGAGAAAATTCAGGTTCAGGAAGAAGAGCAGAGACAGGAAGGGACAGTTGGGTTCGGTGTCTACGTGAAATATTTCAAGGCAGGCACTGGCATCTTCATGTTCATTCTTCTGGTGCTTCTCAACCTCCTGGCTCAGACTGCCTACATCATGAGTGACTGGTGGCTGTCAAGGTGGTAAGTGTAGTCTGTCGGAATCTTCGTGTTTCTTCCTCTGGTATCACTAGATCAGAAGGTTATGGCTTTGTTCTCACTGCGTGATACTCTCTCTGTCAGGTCCGCACTAGACCAGCAGGATATGGCTTTGTTCTAACCACACACAATCAACTCTCTCTCTGTCAGGGCCTCACTAGACCAGCAGGATATGGCTTTGTTCTAACAACATGCTACTCTCTCTGTCAGGGCCTCACTAGACCAGCAGAATAGGGCTTTGTTCTAACCACACACAACCAACTCTCTCTCTGTCAGGGCCTCACTAGACCAGCAGAATATGGCTTTGTTCTAACCACACACTACTCTCTCTGTCAGTGTCAGGGCCTCACTAGACCATAAGGATATGGCTTTGTTCTAACCACACACAATCAACTCTCTCTCTGTCAGGGCCTCACTAGACCATAAGGATATGGCTTTGTTCTAACCACACACAACTCTCTCTCTCTGTCAGGGCCCGACCAGACCATAAGGATATGGCTTTGTTCTAACAACATGCTACTCTCTCTGTCAGGGCCTCACTAGCCCAGCAGAATAGGGCTTTGTTCTAACCACACACAACCAACTCTCTCTCTGTCAGGGCCTCACTAGACCATAAGGATATGGCTTTGTTCTAACGACATGCTACTCTCTCTGTCAGGGCCTCACTAGACAAGCAGGATATGGCTTTGTTCTAACCACACGCTACCCTCTCTCTCTGTCAGGGCCTCACTAGACAAGCAGAATATGGCTTTGTTCTAACCACGCACAACTCTCTCTCTCTGTCAGGGCCTCACTAGACCATAAGGATATGGCTTTGTTCTAACAACATGCTACTCTCTCTGTCAGGTCCGCACTAGACCAGCAGGATATGGCTTTGTTCTAACCACACACAACCAACTCTCTCTGTCAGGGCCGCACTAGACCAGCAGGATATGGCTTTGTTCTAACCACACACAACCAACTCTCTCTGTCAGGGCCGCACTAGACCATAAGGATAGGGCTTTGTTCTAACCACACACAACTCTCTCTCTCTGTCAGGGCCTCACTAGACCAGCAGGATATGGCTTTGTTCTAACCACACACAACTCTCTCTCTGTGTCAGGTCCTCACTAGACCAGCAGCATATGGCTTTGTTCTAACCACACACAACTCTCTCTCTCTGTCAGGGCCTCACTAGACCAGCAGGATATGGCTTTGTTCTAACCACACACAACTCTCTCTCTCTGTCAGGGCCTCACTAGACCAGCAGGATATGGCTTTGTTCTAACCACACACAACTCTCTCTCTGTGTCAGGGCCTCACTAGACCAGCAGGATATGGCTTTGTTCTAACCACACACAACTCTCTCTCTCTGTCAGGGCCTCACTAGACCAGCAGGATATGGCTTTGTTCTAACCACACACAACCAACTCTCTCTGTCAGGTCGGCACTAGACCAGCAGGATATGGCTTTGTTCTAACCACACACAACTCTCTCTCTCTGTCAGGGCCTCACTAGACCAGCAGGATATGGCTTTGTTCTAACCACACACAACCAACTCTCTCTGTCAGGGCCGCACTAGACCAGCAGGATATGGCTTTGTTCTAACCACACACAACTCTCTCTCTGTGTCAGGGCCTCACTAGACCAGCAGGATATGGCTTTGTTCTAACCACACACAACCAACTCTCTCTGTCAGGGCCTCACTAGACCAGCAGGATATGGCTTTGTTCTAACCACACACAACCAACTCTCTCTGTCAGGGCCGCACCAGACCAGCAGGATATGGCTTTGTTCTAACCACACACAACCAACTCTCTCTGTCAGGGCCTCACTAGACCAGCAGGATATGGCTTTGTTCTAACCACACATAACTCTCTCTCTGTCAGGGCCTCACTAGACCAGCAGGATATGGCTTTGTTCTAACCACACACAACTCTCTCTCTGTGTCAGGGCCTCACTAGACCAGCAGGATATGGCTTTGTTCTAACCACACACAACCAACTCTCTCTGTCAGGGCCGCACTAGACCAGCAGGATATGGCTTTGTTCTAACCACACACAACCAACTCTCTCTGTCAGGGCCGCACTAGACCAGCAGGATATGGCTTTGTTCTAACCACACACAACTCTCTCTCTGTGTCAGGGCCTCACTAGACCAGCAGGATATGGCTTTGTTCTAACCACACACAACTCTCTCTCTCTGTCAGGGCCTCACTAGACCAGCAGGATATGGCTTTGTTCTAACCACACACAACCAACTCTCTCTGTCAGGGCCGCACTAGACCAGCAGGATATGGCTTTGTTCTAACCACACACAACTCTCTCTCTCTGTCAGGGCCTCACTAGACCAGCAGGATATGGCTTTGTTCTAACCACACACAATTCTCTCTCTCTGTCAGGTCCTCACTAGACCAGCAGGATATGGCTTTGTTCTAACCACACACAACTCTCTCTCTGTCAGGGCCGCACCAGACCAGCAGGATATGGCTTTGTTCTAACCACACACAACTCTCTCTCTCTCTGTCAGGGCCGCACTAGACCAGCAGGATATGGCTTTGTTCTAACCACACACAATTCTCTCTCTCTGTCAGGGCCGCACTAGACCAGCAGGATATGGCTTTGTTCTAACCACACACAATTCTCTCTCTCTGTCAGGGCCGCACTAGACCAGCAGGAAATGGCTTTGTTCTAACCACACACAATTCTCTCTCTCTGTCAGGGCCGCACTAGACCAGCAACATATGGCTTTGTTCTAACCACACACAACTCTCTCTGTCAGGTCCGCACTAGACCAGCAGGATATGGCTTTGTTCTAGCCACATGCTACTCTCTCTGTCAGGGCCTCACTAGACCAGCAGGAAATGGCTTTGTTCTAACCACACACAACTCTCTCTCTGTGTCAGGTCCGCACTAGACCAGCAGGATATGGCTTTGTTCTAACCACACACAACTCTCTCTCTGTCAGGTCCGCACTAGACCAGCAGGATATGGCTTTGTTCTAACCACACACAACTCTCTCTGTCAGGGCCGCACCAGACCAGCAGGAAATGGCTTTGTTATCCCCCGCCTCGCGAAAGCGCGAAGCGGGGGATATAGTATTCACGACTGTCCGTACGTCCGTCTGTCCGTCCGTCCGTCCGTACGTCCCACCTGTTTGTTGCCGCGATATCTCAAGAACTAAACACTGGATTGTCTTCATATTTGGAACTATGGTGTATATACAGACTCCGCAGACACCAGTCGGTTTTGGTGACCTTGATCCCATTTTCAAGGTCACAGCAGACAAATCTGCTTTTAGAGTTGGAAAATGGTGTTGCCGCGATATCTCAAGAACTAAACACTGGATTGTCTTCATATTTGGAACTATGGTGTATATACAGACTCCGCAGACACCAGTCGGTTTTGGTGACCTTGATCCCATTTTCAAGGTCACAGCAGACAAATCTGCTTTTAGAGTTGGAAAACGGTGTTGCCGCGATATCTCAAGAACTAAACACTGGATTGTCTTCATATTTGGAACTATGGTGTATATACAGACACCGCAGACACCAGTCGGTTTTGGTGACCTTGACCCCATTTTCAAGGTCACAGCAGACAAATCTGCTTTTGGAGTTGGAAAACGGTGTTGCCGCGATATCTCAAGAACTAAACACTGGATTGTCTTCATATTTGGAACTATAGTGTATATACAGACTCCGCAGACACCAGTCGGTTTTGGTGACCTTGACCCCATTTTCAAGGTCACAGCAGGCAAATCTGCTTTTGGAGTTAGAAAACGGTGTTGCCGCGATATCTCAAGAACTAATTGCTGGATTGTCTTCATATTTTGAACTATGGTGTATATACAGACACCGCATACACCAGTCGGTTTTGGTGACCTTGACCCCATTTTCAAGGTCACAGCAGACAAATCTGCTTTTAGAGTTGGAAAACGGTGTTGCCGCGATATCTCAAGAACTAAACACTGGATTGTCTTCATATTTGGAACTATGGTGTATATACAGACACCGCAGACACCAGTCGGTTTTGGTGACCTTGACCCCATTTTCAAGGTCACAGCAGACAAATCTGCTTTTGGAGTTGGAAAACGGTGTTGCCGCGATATCTCAAGAACTAAACACTGGATTGTCTTCATATTTGGAACTATAGTGTATATACAGACTCCGCAGACACCAGTCGGTTTTGGTGACCTTGACCCCATTTTCAAGGTCACAGCAGGCAAATCTGCTTTTGGAGTTAGAAAACGGTGTTGCCGCGATATCTCAAGAACTAATTGCTGGATTGTCTTCATATTTTGAACTATGGTGTATATACAGACACCGCATACACCTGTCAGATTTGGTGACCTTGACCCCATTTTCAAGGTCACAGCAGGCAAATCTGTTTTTGGATTTGGAAAACGGTGTTGCCACAATATCTCAAGAACTAATCGCTGGATTGTCTTCATATTTGGTACTATGGTGTATATGGCGGGGGATATTTCGTCACTCTGTGACAAATACTTGTTCTAACCACACACAACTCTCTCTCTCTGTCAGGTCCTCACTAGACCAGCAGGAAATGGCTTTGTTCTAACCACACACAACTCTCTCTCTCTGTCAGGTCCTCACTACACCAGCAGGAAATGGCTTTGTTCTAACCACACACAACTCTCTCTCTCTGTCAGGTCCTCACTACACCAGCAGGAAATGGCTTTGTTCTAACCACACACAACTCTCTCTCTCTCTGTCAGGTCCTCACTACACCAGCAGGAAATGGCTTTGTTCTAACCACACACAACTCTCTCTCTCTGTCAGGTCCTCACTACACCAGCAGGAAATGGCTTTGTTCTAACCACACACAACTCTCTCTCTCTGTCAGGTCCGCACTAGACCAGCAGGATATGGCTTTGTTCTAACCACACACAACTCTCTCTGTCAGGTCCGCACTAGACCAGCAGGATATGGCTTTGTTCTAACCACACACAACTCTCTCTCTCTGTCAGGGCCTCACTAGACCAGCAGGATATGGCTTTGTTCTAACCACACACAACTCTCTCTCTCTGTCAGGGCCTCACTAGACCAGCAGGATATGGCTTTGTTCTAACCACACACAACTCTCTCTCTCTGTCAGGTCCAATGAAGAAGAGCTGAGATATGCAGCTACACAAGTATTCCAGGAACAGATGACCCTGTTCAATTCAAGCAACATCACCGTGCCTGAAGTCGACACCAACGTCAACATCTACATCTTTACCTCCATCGTTGTCAGCGTCTTCCTCTTCGGTCTTCTCCGAGCTCTTCTCTTCTTCAAAATAGCAGTAGATGCCTCCCAGGCCCTCCACAACAGAATGTTTGCCAAGATCCTGCGTGCACCCATTTCCTTCTTCGACAACAATCCTGTCGGTAAGTGGAAACGCACTGATGAGTATGGCAGGTTCATACAGGTTACTTGATAAAATGTAATGATAATATGGGAGAATTTAATCAGTTCGTTGACTTTGTTGTCACCTGGTGTGGTTGTTAGTTTACCCTGTTGGAGTGAGTGAGTTTGATTTTACACCTCTTTGAGCAATATTCCAGCAATATCACCAGAAATAGGCTTCACACATTGTACCCATGTCGGGAATTGAACCTGGGTCTTCAGCGTGACGAGCCAACGCAATAATTACTAGGCTACCTGACCACCCCATCCTGTTGGACATATAAAGTAGTTTACTTATGTTTTTGTTGCAAAGGATGTTTTTTAATACTGCCACAACTTAATTCTGACTTTGTATGCACCAATATCAATATTATATATAAATAACATTGTTCAGTCTCTTTAAATGATTTGAATTCCAATTTAGATGTAAATTTGGATTTTGGATAGTGGTAGCTTTTGGCTTTATAGGTATTACTATATTTATCCCAACATGTCTATGTTATTATTGAGGCTTAACATTGTTTCAATATTATTCATTACAGGTCGAATTTTGAACCGATTTTCAAAAGATGTTGGCCACATGGACGACCTGCTGCCAATCACATTCTTTGACTTTGTACAGGTAAGACAGGAATCAGGGCACTGTGACCTGCTGCCAATCACATTCTTTGACTTTGTACAGGTAAGACAGGAATCAGGGCACTGTGACCTGCTGCCAATCACATTCTTTGACTTTGTACAGGTAAGACAGGAATCAGGGCACTGTGACCTGCTGCCAATCACATTCTTTGACTTTGTACAGGTAAGACAGGAATCAGGGCACTGTGACCTGCTGCCAATCACATTCTTTGACTTTGTACAGGTAAGACAGGAATCAGGGCACTGTGACCTGCTGCCAATCACATTCTTTGACTTTGTACAGGTAAGACAGGAATCAGGGCACTGTGACAGATAGAAGCCAGTGGCTTCGATGGACAATTGCAATTATAAGCTTAAGAATTGTCAGTCAAGAGACAAATGGGTACTCTGCCTTGAGTAGTAAATATAACAGAAAAACAAGCTGTATATTGTGTCATTTTTTTACTCTAATCTATGGTAATCTTATCATTTGATATTATGTAATTTTGTGAAAACTATTAATGATCAATGGCAATGTTTGTTGTTTAACCCTAGCTGCTCTCAGCAATATTCCAGCTTTATGATCGCGGTCTGTAAATAATCAGATCTGGACTAGACAATCAAGTGATTGACTTCATGAGCATGGATCTACGCATTTGGGATACGATGACATGCATCAACCAAGTCAGCAAGCCTGACCACCCGATCCCGTTAGTCTCCTCTTACAACAAGCATAGTCGCCTCTTATGACAAGCATGGGTTGCTGAAGACCAATATCTTTAGGAAATCAATGGCAATATAAAGCACTACATTCCGATGATAAGTTTGCACATAACAGTGTACATGTGAACCAACTGTTCAGCAAGCCTACCGTCAGTAGCTGCATGACTGATTTATAGCATCCACACAAGCTGTTCTGGTAGTGGGAGTCAGTTGTGCGTCTGTGTTTCAGTGCTTCTTGTTGATCATCGGCATCATCATTGTGGCTGGCGTCATCAACCCATGGGTGTTCATCCCCACCGTGCCCCTGTGTGTGCTGTTCATCTTCATCAGGCGATACTACCTCCGCTCATCTCGCAGTGTCAAGCGCCTCGAGGGCACAAGTAAGAGTTTCAGGAATCATTGAAACACGAAAGTCATTTATCAAAAACCAAAAGAGTGTCCATGCCACTGTTTATTGTGTCTGTTAAGTGCAGTGGAACATGGGATAATTGATAAGAACTTCCAGACCCCTACCACCAAGCGTCTCAGCGCTAGGGTGATCGGAACTCCCATACTTTAACATAGGCTTACGATAGTCATGGTGCTATGATCGCTTTGTGTTTGTTTGTTTGTTTGTTGTTTAACGCCGCACTCAGCAATATTCCAGCTATATGACGGCGGTCTGTAAATAATCGAGTCTGGACCAGACAATCCAATGATTGACATCATGAGCATCGATCCATGCAATTGGGATCAATCACATGCATCAACCAAGTCAGTGAGCCTGACCTCCCGATCCCGTTAGTCGCCTCTTACGACAAGCATAGTCGCCTTTTACGGCAAGCGTGGGTTGCTGAAGACCTCTTCTACCCTGGATGTACAGGGGTCTGATCACTTTGTGGAACGGGGCAGTTTAATCGATCCTCTTCAGGTAGCAGTTGATGTCACAAAAAGCTCTTAAATTTATTACTTGTCTATCTGTCTGCAGCTCGAAGCCCAGTGTTCTCCCATCTGAGTGCCTCACTTCAAGGCCTACACACCATCAGAGCGATGAGCATCGAGGACAAGTTCATGTCGGAGTTCGATGCCCACCAGGACCTGCACACAGAGTCGTGGTTCCTCTTCCTGTCCACCAGTCGCTGGCTGGCTGTCCGCCTCGATTGGTTGTGTGCCATCTTCGTCACCGCAGTCGCCTTCTGTAGTGTCCTTTCAGCAGACCGTAAGTAAAACCATGCATCATTATCCTGCCACGACCATGACACTGTGATATCGTTCTGATGTGACGTCACTCCTTAATGCATGTCACATACAACCGTGGTAGCGGTTCAGGCAGCTGTTCAAACAACATTATACTGCATACTGCCACGAACATGTAAAGAACTCTGAATTAAATGTAACCGTGTAAGTGGGATGGGATTGAATCATACTGAATCCTTGTATGTGTTTGTGCAGGTATGGATGCAGGTCTCGTGGGTTTGTCCATCACGTACGCCATGACACTGATGGGTCTCTTCCAGTGGGGCGTCCGGCAGAGTGCAGAGGTGGAGAACCAGGTGCGTATGCATCCTGCTTGCAGGACCCTGGTTGTGCACCATTCATGTAGCTTGTTCTGAGGTTGAAAGGTGGGGTGAGGTGAAATGGGGTTTAACGTTGCGTCGCACTTAGGTAGCAATGTACATGTAGAGGTGTGTTTGGTTGCTTGTACTAGTCCTATGACTTTCTGTAGTAGGTGCGGTCGGGTAGCCTAATGGTTAAAGCGGACACTCGTCAGGCTGAAGACCCCACATGGTTCAATTCCCCACATGGGTACAATGTGTGAAGCCCATTTCTGGTGTCCCCCGCCATGATATTGCTGGAATATTGCTAAAAGCGGCGTAAAACCATACTCACTCACTCACTCACTTGCTGTAGTACAGCTAAGAAGTCATAAAGAGACTATGGCCAACCCTGTGTTTCCAACCAGACCATGTATAGATGGTATCAGATATCATTGATGACGTTCCCCCAGATGATATCGGTGGAGCGAGTGCTGGAGTACTCCCAGCTGCCATCAGAGGCTCCCCTGGACTCCAGCAAGGACAACAAGCCTCCGCCCAACTGGCCGCAGCACGGCATCATCAGTGGCGAGAAGGCCAGCCTCAAGTACTCCCAGAGCGGACCCAATGTTCTCAAAGACATCAATTTCTGTGTGAGGGCACAGGAGAAGGTAAATCTAGTTATTCTACTGTTCTTTGACGACAGGTTTTAATACTATCTAAATATATCTTATTTAAATAAAGTATTTTTTCTCGTCACGATATGGCTGAAATAATGCCGATTTCACGTTAAATTTGAACTCACTCACAGGAGAAGGTGGGTATATTTGAACAGAGAATGATGCATCTCTGCAATTCCCAGTTTTGCTTAGAGTGAGCAGCATGGCACACTTTCATAAGTAAAATGATCAGGAGCTCCATTATATGAAATGTATGTTCAGTTTATCATTAACCGGGGGGGGGGGGGGGGGGGGGGGGGGGCACGGGTGGCCCAGTCGTCTAAAGCGCCGCGATTCGCTGTGCAGAGTTGCGTCCCTTGGGCACGCCAGAAACCTATGATTGTGGGTTCGAATCCCGGTTCGCCCCAGTTATGTTTCTAGGTTTGTCAGCACCATACCCTTGCTCGTGGGTTTCACCGAAGTGGTAAACGTCTTAGACCTGCATCCCTTCGGGCTTTCCTCCCACATTAAGCTGACACGCCGTGATATAACTGGAATAATGTTAACAGCGGCGTTAAACCCAACTCACTCACTCACTTATTAACCGGGGCGGTCGGGTAGCCTAGTGGTTGAAGTGTTCGCTCGTCACGCCAAAGACCCCGGTTCGATTCCCGACATGGGTACAACGTGTGAAGCCCATTTCTGGTGTCCCCCGCCGTGATATTGCTGGAATATTGCTAAAAGCGGCGTAAAACCATACTCACTCCCTCAATTATCATTAACCATATGTGACATGTAGAGGCTTTGTGATTCTATAGAGAATGTTTACTGCTTAGCTTCCTCTTCTCTTAATTATGAGTCCTGTGAAGATCCGGGTTAGAATTGGTCTGCAGCAACTCATGCTTGTTGTGAGAGGCAACTAATCGGGTCAGGTGGTCAGACTCCCTGACTTGGTGGATGCATGTCATTGTATCCCAAATGTGTAGATCAATGCTCATGATGTCGATCACTGGATTGTCTGGTCCAGATTTGATTATTACAGACTGAGATCATATAGCTTGAATATTGCTGAGTGTGGCATTAAACAACAAACAAACTTTTGGGTGTGGGTTATTGTTTTCATATTGCACCATACATGCTCAAAATAATGCTCTGGTGCTTTAAAATTTTACACGGGTCAGAGGATCAGTGGGAACTCATTTTACTTTCTTAGTTTCCAGTTGAGTATACAACCAAAGCTACCTTTCAGACCTATAAGGTTTTGCATTCACATCTCATTCTACCTGGAACCCATTCAATGCTGGGGACACAGAGGAATATTCTAACAAATTCACTTGTGTAAGAAGACATCGCAAGTTTTTTAACCTATGATTCAGTGTGGGGCAAGACTGAAGCCCAAGATTCTTTCACAGGGCCCCATGCACTCATCCTTTGTATCAGAAAGATCCATTCTATTATCCTCAGTCTATCCTTACTGTGTATTGTAAGTAAACATTTCAGGTAATGAGCTTCTTTTGATCACCATTTATCATCCAAGACTGGCTCCCACAGGATATATCGCTTGGGTGAGATCAAGCTATATCTACCAGTACGTTGTAGATATCGCTGCAATGAAATGACATCACAATGCATGGCAGACCATTGTGACATCATTGGTTACCATGATGTCACAATCAAATGACATCACTAATGGCTCTGCTACTGAAGCTGTTTGCAGTACTTTTTACACCAAAGACACTGCTTGTTACTGTCTACAAACTGAAAAAGTTGGAAGAATGATGTTAGATGATAAATAAAATCTCACCCTCTTGTCTTTTGATATCAAAACATGTCAACGCTCGTTGATTTAAGCCTCAGAGTTTTCCCACTTTTATCTACTCATGTTAATATATTTGATATTAAAAGACACTCAGGTGAGATTCTCTGTTTGTAGTCATTAGATTGTTCAACATTGTCTCTTCATCTGTCTTTTCATCAGGTTGGAATCGTAGGTCGGACTGGAGCTGGCAAGAGCTCAATGATCGTGATGTTATTCCGTCTTGTCGAACCTAAAGGGAAACTGATGATTGATGGCATCAACATCTCGGACATCGGACTCCATGATCTGCGGAAAACCATCTCCATCATTCCCCAGGATCCAGTGCTGTTTACTGGAGCCCTCCGACGTAACCTGGATCCCTTCGGACAACATGATGACAGTCAGCTGTGGAAGTCCCTGGAGGAGGTGGGGCAGATGTTTCATCATGAAGTAGTCAGATTTAGCTGATATCATTATACTTACACAGCTAAACCCTCCTAATTAATTAATATAACTATGACTTCTTCTCTTTTCAGGTTAATAACTATCCCTGTCTGTGACATTAACTTTTGATCTCACCAGCCAGAACATGTCTGTTGGCATCCTTTTAATTCGGTTTTGTGTTGAAATATTTGCTGAACTAACTGACATCCTTTTAAAATACTTTCAACAAGTGGTTCAAGTTGTGGATTCTTTTTAAGATTTAAAAATGTTTTGCCAAGGAGCATTATTTTGCATAATGTTATCACCTTAAAGCCACTGCACGCTCCATAGCACACTCCATAGCCACAGCACACCCCATAGCACACTCCAAAGCACACTCCAAAGCCACATCACACGCCATAGCACACTCCAAAGCCACATCACACCCCATAGCACACTCCAAAGCCACATCACACCCCACATCACACTCCAAAGCCACATCAAACCCCATAGCACACTCCAAAGCCACATCACACCCCACATCACACTCCAAAGCCACATCACACCCCATAGCACACTCCAAAGCCACATCACACTCAATAGCCACATCACACTCCCATAGCACACTCCAAAGCCACATCACACTCCAAAGCACACTCCAAAGCACACTCCAAAGCCACATCACACCCCATAGCACACTCCAAAGCCACATCACACCCCATAGCACACTCCAAAGCCACATCACACCCCATAGCACACTCCAAAGCCACATCACACCCCATAGCACACTCCAAAGCTACATCGCACCCCATTGCACACTCCATAGACACATCACACCCCATAGCACACTCCAAAGCCACATCACACCCCACATCACACTCCAAAGCCACATCACACCCCATAGCACACTCCAAAGCTACATCACACCCCATTGCACACTCCAAAGCCACATCACACCCCATAGCACACTCCAAAGCCACATCACACCCCATAGCACACTCCAAAGCCACAACACACCCCATAGCACACTCCAAAGCCACATCACACCCCATAGCACACTCCAAAGCCACATCACACCCCATAGCACACTCCAAAGCCACAGCCCACCCCATAGCACACTCCAAAGCCACATCACACCCCATAGCACACTCCAAAGCCACATCACACCCCATAGCCACAGCACACTCCAAAGCACACTCCAAAGCACACTCCAAAGCCACAGCACACCCCATTGCACACTCCAAAGCACACCCCACAGTCACAGCACACGCCACAGTCACAGCACACCCCATAGCACACTCCAAAGCCACAGCCCACCCCATAGCACACTCCAAAGCCACATCACACCCCATTGCACACTCCAAAGCCACATCACACCCCATAGCACACTCCAAAGCCACATCACACCCCACATCACACTCCAAAGCCACATCACACTCCATAGCCACACCACATTCCAAAGCCATATCACACTCCATAGCCACATCACACCCCATAGCACACTCCAAAGCCACAGCACACTCCAAAGCCACATCACACCCCATAGCCACAGCATACTCCAAAGCTACATCACACCCCATAGCACACTCCAAAGCCACAGCATACTCCAACGCCACAGCATACTCCAAAGCCACATCACACCCCATAGCACGCTCCAAAGCCACATCACACCCCATAGCACACTCCAAAGCCACAGCACAAGCCACAGTCACAGCACACGCCATAGTCACAGCACACCCCACAGTCACAGCCCACCCCATAGCACACTCCAAAGCCACATCACACCCCATAGCACACTCCAAAGCCACATCACACTCCATAGCACACTCCAAAGCCACATCACACTCCATAGCACACTCCAAAGCCACATCATACTCCATAGCACACTCCAAAGCCACATCACACTCCATAGCCACAGCACACTCCAAAGCCACATCACATCCCATAGCACACTCCAAAGCCACATCACACCCCATAGCACACTCCAAAGCCAAATCACACCCCATAGCACACTCCAAAGCCACATCACACCCCATTGCACACTCCAAAGCCACATCACACGCCATAGCCACAGCACACGCCACAGTCACAGCACACGCCACAGTCACAGCACACCCCACAGTCACAGCACACCTCATCATGGCGTCTCAACTTAATGTTTTCTGAACCCAGAGTGACCCAGGTCTTGGACCACAGGAACAGGTTGGCTGCTGATAACCAAAGATCTTATGTGGAAATTAAAAGCAGCAATCAGAGGATCCTGTCAGCTTAGGAGGCATCACTGTGGGCAGGTTATTGTGCCCTAGATCACTTCGATGTTCAGCAAGGGTCAGAGAGAACTCATGTGTCTGTATTCTTGCAGGTCCATAGATCACTTGGATGTTCAGCGTGGGTCCGAGACTAACTCATGTGTCTGTATTCTTGCAGGTCCATAGATCACCTGGATGTTCAGCGTGGGTCCGAGACTAACTCATGTGTCTGTATTCTTGCAGGTCCATAGATCACTTGGATGTTCAGCGTGGGTCCGAGACTACATGTGTCTGTATTCTTGCAGGTCCATAGATCACTTGGATGTTCAGCGTGGGTCCGAGACTACATGTGTCTGTATTCTTGCAGGTCCATAGATCACTTGGATGTTCAGCGTGGGTCCGAGACTACATGTGTCTGTATTCTTGCAGGTCCATAGATCACTTGGATGTTCAGCATGGGTCCGAGACAACTCATGTGTCTGTATTCTTGCAGGTCCATAGATCACTTGGATGTTCAGCATGGGTCAGGGAATTCATGTGTCTGTATTCTTGCAGGTCCATAGATCACTTGGATGTTCAGCGTGGGTCCGAGACTACATGTGTCTGTATTCTTGCAGGTCCATAGATCACTTGGATGTTCTGCATGGGTCGGAGACAACTCATGTGTCTATATTCTTGCAGGTCCAGCTGAAACCAGCTGTAGAGGAACTACCAGGCCAGCTGGAGACAGAGGTGTCGGAGGGAGGCATCAACTTCAGCGTGGGCCAGAGACAACTCATCTGTCTAGCCAGGGCCATTCTCAGGAAGAACAAGATACTTCTGATAGATGAGGCCACTGCTAATGTTGATCCAAAGTAAGATGTGCCAGATTCTATCTCACGGACTCCTGGGTGGCCCAAGTTGATGGTTCCAGCATTGTAATGAGAGAATGGGTAATACCGTATTCAACGTAATAAGCGCCCACGGGGATATTTGCTAATATATTGGCTAGTGAACAATTCCAATTAGCACCCCTTCCGATTAATCAATATACACAGACTTATTTATGCACCCTTAATTATGGGGAATTAAATTCTGGAAAAATACATTGTTTTTGTATATAAACATTTCAGGCTGTCAGCATAAACAACAAAATCTTTCTTTCAACTCTGTTTTTTTCACCAAAATAATATTCTAATAAGAGCCCCCTATTTCTAATTTTGAGAGTGCCCTGGGCGCTTATTACATCGAATACGGTACTTCAAGTTAAACCATGTGGGAATGTATAGTTAGAATATTGCACCGGTGCTCAATTCTTGTCTATCATGTAGACTGGGTAGCCACAATTGCTGCAGAACAAGGACCGTCTGTATGTGGTCATATGGGATGAAACTCCATGAAATCAGAGCCTTCTCTTTCACTATCTAACATCTACTGGTATTATTCAAGAGTACACCTAACGGAATATCATGGATACTTCTATTCCATTCACCTGTGTTTCAGAGTTATGTAAATACTAGTTTACCAGGTCCAACACCCCATGTTAGAAGTAGGTCCCTATCAACCTGTGCTGGTCATACATGGGTTTAGTTGTCAGGCTAGGTGACTTGTTGGTTGGCTTGTTGTTTAACGCCACACTCAGCAATATTCCAGCTATATGACGGCGGTCTGTAAATAATCGAGTCTGGACCAGATAATCCAGTGACTGACATCATGAGTATCAATCCACACAACTGGAATATGATGACATCCATCAACCAAGTCAGCGAGTCTGACCACCCAATCCTGTTATTCTCCTCTTACGACAAGCATAGTCGCTTTTTACGGCAAGCATGGGTTGCCGAAGACCTATTCTACCCCGGATCTTCACCTCAACCATTGCACATAGTATTGATCACTGGATTGTCTGGTCCAGACTCGATTATGTACAGGCCACAGTCATATAGCTGAGTGAGACATTAAACTACAAATAAACAAAACGAGGTCAAAGCCTGGTTGGGATGTTGCTGACTCTTGTTTTAACTGTGAAATTTGTGAAGATTTTCTTTAAGAAACTCTCTCATGTAGAGTAGTTGATGAGGTTTCATCTGTTTGATCAACACGGACATGTATCCTTTCAGAACTGATGAACTCATCCAGGCAACTATCCGTGACAAGTTCCGCCATTGCACCGTGTTGACTATCGCCCATAGACTGCACACCATCATGGACTCCGACAGAGTACTGGTATGTTCCTGTCACTTATGTATAACATAAAGCAGGCATTGAAGGGTAGGTGGGGGATGGGGAGGGCCTGTTGTCCTTGTTGATGGTGGTCACTATATGTGTCAAGATGGAGGTAGCTGGGCGGATGGGGAGGGGAGGCTGTCATGTTGCCTGTTGTCCTTGTTGATGGTGGTCACTATATGTGTCAAGATGGAGGTAGGTGGGGGATGGGGAGGCTGTCATGTTGCCTGTTGTCCTTGTTGATGGTGGTCACTATATGTGTCAAGATGGAGGTAGGTGGGTGTTGCCTGTTGTCCTTGTTGATGGTGGTCACTATATGTGTCAAGATGGTGGTAGGTGGGGGATGGGGAGGCTGTCATGTTACCTGTTGTCCTTGTTGATGGTGGTCACTATATGTGTCAAGATGGAGGTAGGTGGGGGATGGGGATTGCCTGTTGTCCTTGTGGATGGTGGTCACTATATGTGTCAAGATGGAGGTAGGTGGGTGTTGCCTGTTGTCCTTGTTGATGGTGGTCACTATATGTGTCAAGATGGAGGTAGGTGGGGGATGGGGAGGGCCTGTTGTCCTTGTTGATGGTGGTCACTATATGTGTCAAGATGGTGGTAGGTGTGGGATGGGGAGGGCCTGTTGTCCTTGTTGATGGTGGTCACTATATGTGTCAAGATGGAGGTAGGTGGGTGTTGCCTGTTGTCCTTGTTGATGGTGGTCACTATATGTGTCAAGATGGAGGTAGGTGGGGGATGGGGAGGGCCTGTTGTCCTTGTTGATGGTGGTCACTATATGTGTCAAGATGGTGGTAGGTGTGGGATGGGGAGGGGAGGCTGTCATGTTGCCTGTTGTCCTTGTTGATGGTGGTCACTATATGTGTCAAGATGGAGGTAGGTGGGTGTTGCCTGTTGTCCTTGTTGATGGTGGTCACTATATGTGTCAAGATGGTGGTAGGTGGGGGATGGGGAGGCTGTCATGTTACCTGTTGTCCTTGTTGATGGTGGTCACTATATGTGTCAAGATGGTGGTAGGTGGGGGATGGGGAGGCTGTCATGTTGCCTGTTGTCCTTGTTGATGGTGGTCACTATATGTGTCAAGATGGAGGTAGGTGGGGGATGGGGAGGGCCTGTTGTCCTTGTTGATGGTGGTCACTATATGTGTCAAGATGGAGGTAGGTGGGGGATGGGGAGGGGAGGCTGTCATGTTGCCTGTTGTCCTTGTTGATGGTGGTCACTATATGTGTCAAGATGGTGGTAGGTGGGGGATGGGGAGGGGAGGCTGTCATGTTGCCTGTTGTCCTTGTGGATGGTGGTCACTATATGTGTCAAGATGGTGGTAGGTGGGGGATGGGGAGGCTGTCATGTTGCCTGTTGTCCTTGTGGATGGTGGTCACTATATGTGTCAAGATGGAGGTAGGTGGGGGATGGGGAGGGGAGGCTGTCATGTTGCCTGTTGTCCTTGTTGATGGTGGTCACTATATGTGTCAAGATGGAGGTAGGTGGGTGTTGCCTGTTGTCCTTGTTGATGGTGGTCACTATATGTGTCAAGATGGTGGTAGGTGGGGGATGGGGAGGCTGTCATGTTACCTGTTGTCCTTGTTGATGGTGGTCACTATATGTGTCAAGATGGTGGTAGGTGGGGGATGGGGAGGCTGTCATGTTGCCTGTTGTCCTTGTTGATGGTGGTCACTATATGTGTCAAGATGGAGGTAGGTGGGGGATGGGGAGGGCCTGTTGTCCTTGTTGATGGTGGTCACTATATGTGTCAAGATGGAGGTAGGTGGGGGATGGGGAGGGGAGGCTGTCATGTTGCCTGTTGTCCTTGTTGATGGTGGTCACTATATGTGTCAAGATGGTGGTAGGTGGGGGATGGGGAGGGGAGGCTGTCATGTTGCCTGTTGTCCTTGTTGATGGTGGTCACTATATGTGTCAAGATGGAGGTAGGTGGGGGATGGGGAGGCTGTCATGTTACCTGTTGTCCTTGTGGATGGTGGTCACTATATGTGTCAAGATGGAGGTAGGTGGGTGTTGCCTGTTGTCCTTGTGGATGGTGGTCACTATATGTGTCAAGATGGAGGTAGGTGGGGGATGGGGAGGCTGTCATGTTGCCTGTTGTCCTTGTTGATGGTGGTCACTATATGTGTCAAGATGGAGGTAGGTGGGTGTTGCCTGTTGTCCTTGTGGATGGTGGTCACTATATGTGTCAAGATGGAGGTAGGTGTGGGATGGGGAGGGGAGGCTGTCATGTTGCCTGTTGTCCTTGTTGATGGTGGTCACTATATGTGTCAAGATGGAGGTAGGTGGGTGTTGCCTGTTGTCCTTGTGGATGGTGGTCACTATATGTGTCAAGATGGAGGTAGGTGGGGGATGGGGAGGGCCTGTTGTCCTTGTTGATGGTGGTCACTATATGTGTCAAGATGGAGGTAGGTGGGGGCTGGGGAGGGGAGGCTGTCATGTTGCCTGTTGTCCTTGTGGATGGTGGTCACTATATGTGTCAAGATGGTGGTAGGTGGGGGCTGGGGAGGGGAGGCTGTCATGTTGCCTGTTGTCCTTGTTGATGGTGGTCACTATATGTGTCAAGATGGAGGTAGGTGGGTGTTGCCTGTTGTCCTTGTGGATGGTGGTCACTATATGTGTCAAGATGGAGGTAGGTGGGGGCTGGGGAGGGGAGGCTGTCATGTTGCCTGTTGTCCTTGTTGATGGTGGTCACTATATGTGTCAAGATGGAGGTAGGTGTGGGATGGGGAGGGGAGGCTGTCATGTTACCTGTTGTCCTTGTTGATGGTGGTCACTATATGTGTCAAGATGGTGGGGGATGGGGAGGCTGTCGTGTTGCCTGTTGTCCTTGTTGATGGTGGTCACTATATGTGTCAAGATGGTGGTAGGTGGGTGTTGCCTGTTGTCCTTGTGGATGGTGGTCACTATATGTGTCAAGATGGTGGTAGGTGGGTGTTGCCTGTTGTCCTTGTTGATGGTGGTCACTATATGTGTCAAGATGGAGGTAGGTGGGGGATGGGGAGGCTGTCATGTTGCCTGTTGTCCTTGTTGATGGTGGTCACTATATGTGTCAAGATGGAGGTAGGTGGGGGCTGGGGAGGGGAGGCTGTCATGTTGCCTGTTGTCCTTGTTGATGGTGGTCACTATATGTGTCAAGATGGTGGTAGGTGGGGGCTGGGGAGGGGAGGCTGTCATGTTGCCTGTTGTCCTTGTTGATGGTGGTCACTATATGTGTCAAGATGGAGGTAGGTGGGTGTTGCCTGTTGTCCTTGTTGATGGTGGTCACTATATGTGTCAAGATGGAGGTAGGTGGGTGTTGCCTGTTGTCCTTGTGGATGGTGGTCACTATATGTGTCAAGATGGAGGTAGGTTGGTGTTGCCTGTTGTCCTTGTTGATGACGATGATAATATGTGTCCAGATGGATTGATGCTCATGATATTAATCACTAAATAGTCTGGTCCAGATTTGATTATTTACAGACAGCCGTCATATAGCTGGAATATTGTGCGGCATTAAACAACAAACCAACCAACCAAATCTCAACGTTTTGCTTAACTTGACAAGTGGATGAGGATGGTAATGCTTTGCTAAAGGCAACCATTCAACAATTTAATACAAGATTTTATTGTCTTATTATCTTAGGGGGCACAGGTGGCCCAGTCATCTACAGTTCCCGTGATTCGCTGTGCAGAGTTGCATCCCTTGGGCACGCCAGAAACCTATGATTGTGGGTTCGAATCCCGATTATGTTTCTAGGTTTGTCAGCACAATACCCGTGCTCGGGTTTCACCAAAGTGGTAAACATCTGAGACCTGCATTACTTCGGGTTTTCCTCCAACATTAAGCTGACACGCCGTGATATAACTGTAATACTGTTAAAAGTGGCGTTAAACCACCTCACTCACTCACTTTTTATCTTGATTACATCCCTTAAAAGGCTTAATCCTGCATGACACTAATCAGTACCATCATTTCCCAGGTGATGGATGATGGTAAAATCATTGACTTTGATGAACCCCATCTGCTCCTGGAGAAAGGTGAAGGTCATTTCTACCAGATGGTGCAGCAGACGGGCAAGACAGAGGCCGAGCACCTGATAGAGATAGCAGAGACCGCCTACAAGGACAGACACACCAGTCAACCCCTCGATGACAAGGTCATGCTCACAGAAAACGGAATGACTTACGAGTCAAAGACGGACCAAGGAAATCAAAACGAAATGGCAGAGGAACTTGATAGTGCCATATCTAGTTCTAGCATCGAAGAGAACGCTCCCATGTTTGAGACGGTGCCTAGTGAACCAGAAGACATGGATGCAGCTCTTAATGAACCTTTGTTAGACCAGGATGCAGTTGTAAAGAAGGCTGAAGAAGGCTCAGTTCCTAAGGTAAATGGTAAACATCCCACAATTAACGGTGCTGGGAACGCCGGAGATGAGTACGGAATGCCAGAGGACAGTTACTGTGATGATGATATCGAAGAAGCGTTACTGACATCAGAAGAGAACACTGTAGAATTAACTCCCTCCACTCCAATTGTGAGTATAGCCAAACAGAAGCGTGGATCGAAGGACTTGTCAGAGAACGTGTCGTCCACGACACCGCTACTGACGGCTGACAGCCAGACGGCAGACTCTATAGATGTTTGATGAGTGTAGAGACCCGTTGATGCAATGTACCAGTGTGATCATATCATGTCAGGAATACTGTTTCATAAGATCAAGTTTCATCATGCTCTCATTCTTATGCTTAAACTCGATAAGTCATTTTCTTGATGTCATTGTGTTTTTGTGTCATTTTCCAAATTGAAAGAATATAGAAGATAATTTTAGCCTTAGTGTGTATGTAGAATTATTCTGTTGTTGGTGTGGGACTGCAGTTTTAGAATCATGTTTAGTTGTTGTTGTTTTTATATTTACGATGTTGTAGATATATATGTTTTAGGACTTTATTGATTTTAATTGATTTTTTTATTGTTTTGTTGTTTTATTCTGTTCTATTTCCATGTAGCTGTGGTGCTCTGAGTTTAAAACTTGTCACCTCTTGCTTGCTTGGAGTCTCAGTTTTTTTACATTTAACTGTCTCTTCTCTTGTTTTAGTAGTGTGATGTTAGATGTTATGTTCCAACTTTACACAAGAGTTTTAATGATGCAATTTTACTCACTTCTTAGCTTCACGCTTGTTCATACTCTGCCAAAAGACATGTCTGTGATTGCTGCATCATACACTCTGACCCACTTATGTCCCCCAGGGTGATTCTGGGTTAGAAAAGATCATCATGCGATGATGGCGTGTCATGATACCAAGATGGCGTGTCATGATACCAAGATGGCGTGTCATGATACCAAGATGGCTTGTCATCATGCCAAGATGGCATGTCATGATACCAAGATGGCGTGTCATGATACCAAGATGGCGTGTCATCGTGCCAAGATGGCGTATCATCATACCAAGATGGCGTGTCATCATACCAAGATGGCTTGTCGTCATACCAAGACAGCATGGATTGTTGTTCACAACATAAATCACTGGATTGCCTTGCCATTATATAGCTAGCTGGAATAGCAACCTACTTAATGTTTGAAATTGTTTCTTTATGACTACATTCCATTCATGTATATTTTCATGGTGACTTAATTATCTCCACATGGTTGACATGTTCAGTATAACAATGCTACACATCATGATCACGGCAACCATGTTAGTATGTTGATTTCGGTGCAAGGTTTATTCATGTTACCTGCTTTCAAGATGTGTATATGACACTTTGTTTCATGTGGAGATCTGGGATAGAATAGGTCTTCAGCAGCCCATGCTTGCGGGAAAGTCCCGTTAATACTGAGTAACGTTTTTGGCTTGGGGTCAGCAGTCATATTAATTTGGAGACACATTAATTTCAAGATTTACAATGCATTTATGTACTGTAGTATGACTACTTTCTTGAATAATTATTGAATTTATATATACTGTATTCGATGTAATAAGCACCCAGGGTGCTCTCAAAATTAGAAATAGGGGGCTCTTATTGGAATATAATTTTGGTGAAAAAAACACAGAGTTGAAAGATTGTAAATTTCTAGGTTTATGTACCTGAAATGATACAAAAGAAAAGTCTGTGCGTATTATACAGGACAGATATATTTTTCCAGAAGTTAATTGCCCATAGTTAAGGGTGCATTTAACACACGAGTGCGTATTATACCCGAATAATAAGTCTTGTGTTCATTGATCAATCGGAAGAGGTGCTAATGGGGATTGTTCACTAGCCAATATATTAGCAAATATCCCCATGGGCGCTAATTAGAGCGGAGCGGTAACACTATAATAATGATCATGTATGCTAATATTGCTACTCACATTGTGCTGGTAAGATTGCTTAAGAAAATAGGATGCACCAAGATGTTTATTCAATCTTGAGAGACAATATCAGTGACACTGAAGGCCAAGTATGTGACTGTGGCACACCAGGCTGATATGAGGATTCCTCTCCTGCCGGGTACCCACAAACTGCTGTGTGATGTCATCAAAGCTGTGAATGACGATACACATAATGAGCCAGACACCTTGTAACATTACTTCATTCAGCTCATGTTATTGGAGGGGCGGTCGGGTAGCCTAGTGGTTAAAGCATTCGCTCGTCACGCCGAAGACCCGGGTTCAATTCCCGATAAAAGCGGTGTAAAACCATACTCACTCACTCATGTTATTTGGTAGCAGAGGTTAAGTCCACTGTTTCATCCAATCGGTGACAGAGTGGTTCAGGATTCCAACTGCTATCCCCAGCATCCTGAGTTAAAATAGATACCCAGCACTGTGGTGTATGTATATCAGATGAAAGATTGAAACAGGTTCAGGTTCTTCAGAGGACAGATTTGAAACGGGTTGTCAGCTTCGGTGACTTGGATATTCCGTGTCGTGGTACCCAGGAAGATGTTGCTCATAATGTCTACCCCTAGCTTGTCAGAGGGCTCCAAAATAGCAGATATAGTCTTCAGTGTATCATCTTCCCGAGGCAAAGGCATTAACTGACTATAAAAGTTCCACCCTTGCCGAACTAGGCTTGAATTACTAGCCTCGATCTTAGCGCCACCATTGGCTATTGTGAGTTATGGCGTTTCTTTGTTCCTCCTATTGACCAATCGGATTCAACCTCTCATAGAACTTGCATTTGCTTCAAACAAAATGGCGGCGCCCAGTGAAGACGATCTGAACGAGAACCAAGATCTATTTTGAAATAAAACGGGTCTTACCTCGCCAAGTGCATTAAATCACTTGAGCACCTTGATCAAGAACTTGAAAATTCTTTTGAAAATATCTGCCGACAACCATTTGGTACACATGCAGTCGACCGAAATCTGAAAGTTGAAATCCATACTGTTTATGAACCGGATGTCAAGTTCGTTCCACGATTTTGATTTGACTATGCATAAACTCAATAGTCCAGCCAATGTGTAACTCGGGAAATGCAGCCTAGTTCGGCAAGGGTTAAAACTGGACTTTAATATGTCAGTTAATGCCCTTGCCTCAGGAAGATGTCAGTGTATCAGAAAAGCCTAGCAATGTTTGAGTAGTATAGATGACTGTTTGACACTGGGTGCTCTGTGTGCCTTGAACTTTTTCCGGTGTATATGTTGTGAATAGATGATAATTGTTTGACTTCTCATATATATACATTTTGTTTGCACATAATAATATACATGATATACTACTCAACTTTTGATATTTTGTATGTACAATGATGTCCCTGTCAAAACATGAGTAGTGTTGCATGTAATTTAAAGGAATGATGATGTTTTATTCATTCCTTTACCACTGGTTTTGTTGTGGCCATGTGTGACTTAAAACAATGGCTGCTTAAGAGGGATATTGAGGTTTATGTTGTCACTACTACTTTATGAACCCCTGTGGGGCTTAGGGCGGTGGGGTAGCCTAGTGGTTAAAGCATTCGCTTGTCACACCAAAGACCCGGGTTCGATTCCCGACATGGGTACAATGTGTGAAGCCCATTACTGGTGACCCCTGCCGTGATATTGCTGGAATATTGCTAAAAGAAGCGTAAAACTATAGTCACTCACTCACCCTGTAGGGCTCACAGGTTGTGATAAGTCCCCAGCTACCTGTGCTGATTGTTAGAGGTGACCAAATGGATTGAGTGGTCAGGTGGGGGACTTGGTTGATAGCATGTCCTCCACCCTGACAGAATGGATCATTGCTCACAATATCAATGACTGGATTGTCTATCCAGACTCAAATATTTACCACGTGGCACGGTGGCCCAGTCATCTAGGGCGCTGAAATTCGCTGTTCCGAGTTGCGTCCCTTGGGCACGCCAGAAACCTATGATTGTGGGTTCGAATCCCGTTTTGCCCCGATTATGTTTATAGGTTTGGCAGCACCATACCCGTGGGTTTCACCCAAGTGGTAAACATCTTCGACTTGCATTGCTTCGGGCTTTCCTCCCACATTAAGCTGACACGCCGTGATATAACTGGAATACTGTTAAAAGCAGCGTTAAACCAAACTCACTCACTTTCTCAAATATTTACAGGCCACTGTCATGTTGCTGGAATATTGTGGAGTGCAGTATTAAACAACAAACAAACAAAACACTGTATATGATAATACATTTAGTGACATGGATTTTGAATAAATTGCAGTAATGTTGTTTGCAGTAACTGTTAAACGGTCTCATCTTCTGTGTGAAACGAGGTGTAGGTTTGTCCTCACTACAAAATACCATTGAAACATTTCCTGAATATCAAAAGATTAAAAAGAAGAAACAAAGTAACTTCCTTTGTCTCAAATAAGTGTGACATTTGCAACCATGATCATCTTAATAGACTTGTCACATGAAAAACCTTATCAATTTTTGTTAGATTTTCCTCGAATTTTAAAAAAACCAATTGAGGTTGGAGGCATTTTATTTTTTATGTTGTATATCTGATGAAGCAATTTGTGTACATTTTCTGTCGACAGATGTGATTCCCATGAAGCATGGATGTTGGTAGTATTACGTGTGTGATGTGGATGTTGACTGGGAGGCAAGCTGGGATGAAAATCCTGCAATCATTTAGTTAAAGTCAAAAATGTTTGGGGAATGGAAAATTATTACCATATTTGACTTAATAAACGACCCAACCATATTGTTGGGCCCCAACACAAACCTGGTGAGATTTAAGCTCGTGTTTCGAGTCGGTATACTAGTCAATCATTACAACCCACACCCACTGTCACAAAAGATAACCTCCAGGTGCTAGAATCATACAAGATGTGGTGACTTAGTCGCCATACCTTTTACTCATAATATCAATCACTGGTTTGTCTGGTCCAGACTTGATTATTTACAGGCCGCAGTCGTATGGCTGGAATATTTTTTGTTTGCATCCCCTCTGCCCTGTGAATTACTTTTTGGGGTGATAATTTTGTCAAATATGGTAATTTTGTAATTGAATATTGTGGAATGATGGGTTCCATCAAAGTAGACTTCCCACTGCCTCCATGTAGATACTGTAGCATCATGTGTAGGTCATATAGCAGCATTAGAAACTGGTACTGGTAGTCCTTGCCAAACTGCCCAATAGTTAAGGTATCATAAGGACTAATAGAAATTTGCCATTTTAAGGGTTTTACTATGTGTTATCATTAGAAGGACTAGCGGACTAAAACTGTTAGTTTCTACGGCTGTGTTGGTCATAGTCTGCTGTCCCTGTCTTGGTGTTTCAACAGTCATGTGTATAAGGAAAGAGGACAATCATGATTTACTGATTGGCTGGTTTATTGGATAAATGTACAAATGGTATGCAATAAATATTTTGAAACATGATGTTTTTTGTTGTTTATTGTATCAGTAGAAAACTAAAAGTATCGCTATATCATACCTAGTTAACACAACTAAAAGGAGAACCGTGAAGATCCGGGGTAGAATAGGTCTTCAGCAACCCATGCCTGCCGTAAGAGGTGACTATGCTTGTTGTAAGAGGCGACTAAGGGGATCGGTTGGTCAGGCTCGCTGACTTGGTTAATGCATGTCATCGTATCTCAGTTGCATAGATTGATGCTCATGATGTCAATCACTGGGTTGTCTGGTCCAGACTCAATTATTAACAGACTGCAAGCATATGACTTGAATATCGTGTGAGACGTTAATCAACAAACAATAATCTCAACATTTTATTTCACAAGTTCAAGCAGGATAAAACTGTCCATGTTCAGCCAGCTGGTGATTTAGACAATTTGATCAGTGCGTCTGTTACTCAAAAATTTGGATTGTTCCTGTAACAAGGCAGGCTACTGACCTACCTCTCCAAGATGGTGCAGCTTCATTCATTTGCTACTGAACTCTCCGATTCACTCTTTCCACTAGGTGTATCCACTGGAGAGACTTAGTGTCCATGAAATAACATCTTCCCGAGGCAAGCGTGTCCACTAGCCTGTATCAAAGCTACGAACAAGACTGATAAAAAGGGAAGATGTGGAATAAATGCTCCACTGCCTCAGCTGTTTACAAAGTTTTTAACAATAGACCCTAGGAGTAGAGTTGTGAATAATGAATAACCTTCCTGGTTGTTGAAGTAGTTGATGATCAGCACTCTTCAAATACTGAGGGCAACACACTGTTCACTAGCCACTGCAGACATTATGCTTGTTGTAAGAGGCGACTATGATTGACGTAAAATGAGACTATGCTTGTTGTAAGAGGCGACTAACGAATCGGGTGGTCAGGCTCGCTGACTTGGTTGATGCATGTCATCGTATCCCAATTGCATGGATCAATGCTCATGATGTCAATCACTGGATTGTCTGGTCCAGACTTGATAATTTACAGACCGTCGTCATACAGCTGAGTGCTGAGTTAAACAAAAAACAAACCAACCAAACAAACAGTTGTAACATCTGATAACTGGTGGGGTTTTATTGATGCAACAAACAAACATAACATACACTGTGCATGTGTTTGTTGGGGAGTGTCATACATGCGACCCATTCTCGTGTTTAGTGTAGAGGCGCAGTTTCCTGTGAATTCTGTGGGCTATATGCTGGCAGATTCTGCTGGTCGAATGTCAGCATTCCAGATTCACGTCAATTTTATCTTTGGCCACGACCCCCTTCATGGTCTACTGAATCGAACGTCTGCTTGGAGAGAGGAAGGTTGGCGGTTTGAAACCCTGACCTTGATAGATGGTACTTTTATTTCCCTGCGTAGCGTTAAGGGGCTAAAACAAGGACTGGTCGACTGAGAGTCGGTACACTGTGTATAAGTTGTGTATTCATGTTCAACATGGTATCTCAGTGGGGTACTTACAGAATCGCTGAACGACTTCCTGTTGTAAATCAATCGGCATTTTTCGATGGTTTCCGTTGACTGTAGCTTACAAGCTTTTGACGAGATGTTCATGATTGCACGAAGAACATTTGAATGTACTCGCTTCTTTCCGTATTTTAACGGAATATCACGAATATTGCAAATTTGCGGTTCAAACGGAAATAATTAAATTTTTGTTGTGTTCATGGAAATTCCTGCATTCTGATTAGCTGAATTGGTCACGTGTTATTGCATTCATTTCCCAATGAATGTAAAAAATTAAGCCACGCCCACCGCGGCGCACTACTTTTATTACTGCGGAATGTCGGGGAATCCCAATATTCGAGGGAATTCCCTTTCTGCAGACGTGTATCGTCATGCACAGGACATTTAGCGACTTTCATGCATATTCATTTTCCAAACAACCGTTTGAAACCGAAAACGAATGAAACAGCAAACGTGCAGGCTCTCTCGCCTGTTTTTTTCCCGCTCGTCTCGGTTCAACTTTCATGTCTTCGGGTTTCATGTCTAACTAGCATTTCTCTAACTGAGTTTTACCGTAATCAGGGAAGTAATGTTTGAATCACGCAGTAAATGACCATGTAATTTGAAACAGCCGCTTTCTCTCGGTCGACATATTTCTTCCGGTTCGTTACAGTCTGACTGTTGCAGTTCTTTTTGCCTCTTGCCTTAATTGACAGGTCTAATGAACATTGTTTTAATCCCACTCTCCGTTGATTGGCTACTGACTGTGTAGGCGTGTCAAGTTATGTGCATAAATTAAACGATCACCTGATTCATGTCACGCCACTGTATATATTCCTACACCTGGAATGTTTATCAATGTCGTCATTTTTGTCTGTTTTGATATATGCAACTGTTTTGGGTTAAACTATTGTAGATAAAACATGTTTAACGTTGTCGAATTTAATTATAAGCATTGACTGTATATTTTTTTCGGTTCATTGAGGTATGAATCGAAAAACCGATGTGCAAACTTTTGTAAGAATCCGCTACGCGGATTCATACAGTTTGCACATCGGTTTTTCGATTCATACCTCAATGAACCGAAAAAATACAGTTCTTCGTGTTGACTGTAGTTAAACACATATCAGATGATCGGTAGATTCTATATTTGTGAAACATGGAACAGTCGAAAGAAAAGTAAAAGAACTCTAAATGTTCCTCGTGGAAACTGGACTTTTAAAGTCAGTTAACTCTCTTGCCTCGGGAAGATGATGGATCAGCTGCCTTTTGTTATAATTATTGGGTAATATAGGACCGGCAAACCTAAACTGACAATGGCACACCAGAAAAACAGGCCTACTGCCCTCGGGCACACCTGATGTTTTTGTCTAATCTCAAGCCCTGTTCATTCACTCACTTTTCACTGCCATTTTGCCTTTTACGCCTAATGGAATCTGTTTCGTTGGAAAATCGAGACTGGTTATTCTCTAGAATTGAGGTTGTCTGTTTATTCATACTTATCAATGAGACCCGTGAAGATCCGGGGAAGAATAGGTCCTCAGCAGCTCATGCTTGCCGCAAGAGGCGACTATGCTTGTCGAAAGAGGCGACTAACGGGATCGGGTGGTCAGAATATAGCAATATTCCAGCTATATGACGGCGGTCTGTAAATAATCGAGTCTGGACCAGACAATCCAGCTATTGATATCATGAGCATCGATCCATGCAATTGGGACCGATTACATGCATCAAGCAAGTCAGCGAGCCTGACCACCCGATCCTCTTACGACAAGCATAGTCTTTTACAGCAAGAATGCGTTGCTGAAGACCTATTAGGACGGTTTCATAAGATGACCTTGTGAGGTGATCAAACATTACAAAAATGATTTTCTCGCTGTCAAATGATTGGCCAATTATGGTCCACATTCGTTCTGTGGACAACACAAGTAAAGCGATAACATTTCTTTATTCATAGCTGTTGATTATTCCTTGATCAATATGACGTCACGACATGGGAAGGTGGTGTTTTCTGTACCCAAGGTCAGCATTCACCCTGAGTCTTTCCAGCCCTTTCTCTTACTGGAATAATGTTAAAAGCGGCGTTAAACCCAACTCACTCACTCACAATAGTCCAGCTGTGTGTTGGCGGTCTGTAATTAATCGAGTCTCGGCTAGACGATCCAGTGATTGACATCATGAGCATCGAGTGAGTGGGTGAGTATGGTTTTACGCCGCTTTTAGCAATATTCCATAAATATCAGGGCAGGGGACACCAGAAATGGGCTTCACACATTGTACCCATGTCGGGAATCGAACCCGGGTCATCGGCGTGACGAGCGAACGCTTTAACCACTAGGCTACCCGACCGCCCCCATGAGCATCGAAGCTCTAATGTATGGACTAGACGAACTGGGGTCCAGGGTTCAAACATTTACTGTTTGCTTTTCAGGGATCATTCCTCTGAAACATTTTTCTCAGATGCTGAAGTGAACTTGGAACACATTTGCCTTCATGACACGTGCTACCAATATTTAACTTTGATGTTCAGGATAGTACTTTGTGTATGAGAGATTTCTTGCTCTCGGTGAGTTTGATGTTTTTCCCACTGATTAACTTCATTCTGATACTGTACTCGTTTGACCAGGGCCCAACACCAAACGTTGGACAGAGTGCTTCTCCAAACTCAACATCGATCATCGATAGAACAGCGACCCTGTTCAGATCAATGAACGCAAGTCTGCCCCTCACCACATCCAGCACGACACCATACGAAATATAGTCTGAGGTGTCGGGTGTATTACACATAGTGTCAAGGGTACAGTGAACATTTTGCTCTCCGTCATATACAAAAGTGCAGATTGAAGACCGATGCCAGGAACAACCCCCTACACGGACACTCCATGAGCGGGGCCGCGAGTACAGCCACACGCCAGTGTCCACTTGGGACTCTTCACAAACACCGACCTCCAGCAGAGTCAGCCAGGCACCGATAGGCTTTCTGGGTGTCACCCTGGTGTGACACTCCCAGTACTGAGGCCCAGGGAGCATAGAGGTGGGTGGGTGGAGCGGGATGGCAGTTGAGCTTCTGGTACCACTGTAGTTCTGTAGTCGGGTGGCATCGTTGTGTTCACTTGTGTTGAAGGACGACGTGTTCACCAGTTCGCATCCACGAGTCACGTCACAATACATTGTGTTTACCAGACTCGTGTCAAAGTGTAATGTAGGACCTGTAAATTAAACAGCTGTATTTAAACAAATACAAAGTGTAAACTAGGACCTGTAAATTATACAGCTGTATTTAAACAAATACAAAGTGTTATTTAGGACCTGTAAATTATACAGCCGTATCTTAACAAATGCAAAGTGTAATGTAGGACCTGTTTATTAAACAGCTGTATCTAAACAAATACCAGTTTGGAATAGTTACATTAATATCCGCAAAGTTTATCAGGCAATAACCCTCTGACGACGGTGGATAAATGAATTTTACAATGTTAGACGTCCCAAAGATGAAGTAGAAGATCACTATTCAACGTTTACCATACTAATAATATAACAACTGTAAAACATAGAAATACCTACACACAACATGGTAAGCTCGTGGTGAGCCGACTTCTCCAAACATATGGACACACCCATAATCTGAAACAGAACAAAATGATGCTGAAAACAAGAGTTCCAGCAGTTTTCTCATTCATCTTTTTTCAAACTTAAGGTTCAAGCAAATCGCAATGACCCATGTAATAGAGCAATGCTGCTAATATAGACTTGCACAAGTCTCTATGAAAATAATTATTAGTTTAAATCACACTTTCTAGTTTATATACATAATAAGGTGAGGTGAACTTGGGTTTGTGTGGCTGCTTGTACTAGTCCGGAGTGATGCCGATTTATAGTGCTGGCACACTGAGATACCATGCCGCAGTTTAACATGAATACTCCACTCAGACACAGTATACTGACTACGAGCCGACCAGTCCTTGTTTTAGCCCCTTTATGCCGAGCGCCTGACAGGGTAACAACAAGTACCATCTTTTAACGTCTTTTGGTATGACGCGGCCGGGGATCGAACCCCGGGCGGACGCTCTACCATTAGACCAATGACCCATGTATTAGAGCAGTGCTGCTACTATAGACTTGCACAAGTCTCTAAGAAAATAATTATTAGTTTAAATCACACTTTGTAGATTATATACATAATAAGAACAAGTTGTCCCTGTAAGAGACCAGTACTGTCCACGTATGTAGACTTGCCTATTTTAAGGCGAGAATTACTGTACAACCATAGACTCTCATTCAGTACAGCCTTGGAGCAAGGCTAATTCTGATACTACATATACGTTTGGGTAATGTCTATTTCTGTCTGACATACTGAGCAGTACAATATAACGGGACTACCTTTCTCCAGGACAGTTTCACGTGTTTGCAGACAAGTGCGTCTGTCTGTATCAGCATGGATTCCCTAAAATCAGAGATAAAACATGTGTCATTGTACATGTATACTGATACATATTATTGCCTTACACGATGAATGTCATCTGCTGATTCGGTACTTGAGTCAATTATGTTTGTAAGTATAAAAAAAACATTAACGTATGATCTGGTCTAAGAATATGAAAATGATTAAATTAAGTATCCCTGTTTTCATAAATACTATTTGTATGATGTCACACAGCATTCTTACATGTCTTATTATCTCAAACATGTGTTTGTGTCTCAGTATTCCCTGTTGAAACTGTCTCAGCTGATGAACTTGACATCTTGTCGCCAAACGACACTTGTCTTCAGTAAGGCGGTGCACTAAAATTAAAAATAATCATAATCATAGTCATAATCATCATCATTTAATTACCGTCTGCGCCATGCTTGTTGTTTTGACACAGAGGTCCATCCATTGTACAACCCAGAATATGTAGAAGGCGTCATGGAAAATGATAAATACAAAATTCTTTGGACTAGACCCGTACACAGCCTCGGGCCTATCCAGGCCAACAAACCTGATCTTGTACTTTTTGATAATCCAATGAAATCATTTATATAATTGAAGTGTATTCACTGTCCCTTTAAACACTTATGTGATTGACAAGATTTAGAAAACACATGGCAAACATGCGGACCTCGCTTTCGAAATGTCACGCTTGCATCCCAAGTACCAAGTTGTCCGACTACCCATTGTTCTCGGTGCCTTAGGTTTGGTACCCCCCAATCTGCAACCCATACTTGCTGTAAAAGGTGACTATGCTCACTATGCTTGTCGTAAAAGGCGACTAACGGGATCGGGTGGTCAGGCTCGCTGACTTTGTACATACATGTCATCGATCCCAATTGGGTGGATCGATGCTCATGATGTTAATCACGGGATTGTCTGGTCCAGACTCGATTATTTACAAACAGCCGTCATATAGCTGGAATATTGTTGAGTGCGGCGTAAAACAACCAACCAACCAACCAATCAACCTTCTTGAGGGAAGTGGTTGATATTTCGTCTTACCAAAGAATGGTTTGTTTTCAGCATCAGCATCAGGGATCTTTCTTCCAGGAATCTGAATAACAATACCAGGGAATTGAAACATTGACGTGGTGACGTAAAGAGGTAATAGAAAGTAGATGACATAATTGTCATTGACAAACGTTTGTTGTGCATGGTATTATTGATTTAAAAATGGTATAACACATTGACATGAAAATGATATAACACAAACACATACATCTGCACCTCTTTTCATACTTGTCTCCCTAATCTATATCAAATTTTGCACAACAGCATAATCATGTTTAATATATGCTGTTAATCTTGAAATTAATGCGAGCGTGAATAAAATGCGAAAAATGCGAGTGGTCTTTGGTCGCATTAATTAACTTAACATTCATGTCTCCAAATGACTATCCAACAATAATACTCACTGCACACTTTGGATAGCGGAAATACCAACTTGAATATAAGCACAGACACAGTTTATTGAGCAGCAGTTGTAACAAGCATATAACAATGTCATTCAAAGAATAGGAATTACACAATAGGCATGCGGAGAGTTATCACTGCTAAGTAGTTAAGTCAATATAATCACGATTCACAAGACCATTGTATAGACCATTTGCTTTATATGAGGAAGAAAAATATGTATTTCAGCTGTTTGGACATTTGCCTTCATTATTCAGTCACAATGCTTACTTTAGTCTTTCTGGAGCTGCTCTGGTTCAAACTGGTGTTGTCTTGTAGCACTAAAACACGAGACACATGTCAGTAAGAATTTCCGTTTTGTAGAGAAAAATACACGACACAGCTATCGATGGGTTCTCAACATTACAAGGTGGCGCAAGAAACTAATGTCACATGTCCAGTGATGCTTGGACGTGTGGGTCAAGCAACTTTCGCCTAATCAAAGTAGGCAGGCAGCTTTACAATGATGAAATTGTTTTGAATTACGCTGGTATCTTGATTCGGTTTGCTGAAGCAACCTGTTCATATCAGGTGGGGACCCGTGACGATTCGGGGTAGAATAGGTCTTCAGCAACCCATGCTTGCCTTAAAAGGCGACTATGCTTGTGGTAAAAGTTTGTTTGTTGTTTAACTCATAAGGAAGAGAATTATGGATGTCAACAAAGATGTCAACTTCTTTATTATACCTCATCCATAAATTCTCTTCCTTGATAAAGTTGGTCGCTTGGCTTGTTTGTTGTTCAACGCCGCACTTAGCAATATTCCAGCTATATGACTGCGGTCTGTAAATAATCGAGTCTGGACCAGACAATCCAGGGATTGATATCATAAGCAACGATCCACGCAATTGGGATCGATGACATGCTTCAACCTTGTCAGCGAGCCTGACCACCCGATCCCGTTAGTCGCCTCTTACGACAAGCATGGTCGCTTTTTACAGCAAGCATGGGTTGCTGAAGAACTATTCTACCGGCGCCTTAGACGACTGGGCCACCCGTGCCCCCCTTATCCATAAGACTTCATCAAACCAACTTCTTAATGCAAGAACGAAAACATACATACATTGTTGTAAGTATTCCACTTTAGCTTGTAGATGAATAATTTCCTTCTTGGTGTTCATCACCTATCCACCAGAAAAGCATGATGTTAAAATAAGTTGGATATATTGAGAATAGATGGGTCAATGGGTCCTTTAGAAGACTCAGTCAGAAAATACATTTGGTCGAAATCGGTGCGCTTATTCACAAATATATGGTTTCTTCACTAGATTATATGGTATCAATCATCGGATTACTGAGCACAAAGACTCCTCGCTAATATGCGTGTCTATATAAATACACATCTCACCAGGCGTCTGAGACGTCTCCAGAGAACAATCCAATCAATCTTCGACAAAACAACCATGAGCCTCTGCAGCCCCTTGTCTTCATCTGTGGGCAATGCGTCATCATCACCATGCACTGTCGTCAGAATAGAAACCGACCACATTGCAAAATATATACATCACATATATTTGAAGTTTGATTAGACCATAACAATAACAGGTCTTTAAAAATATATGTATATCACATTTTCTTTTGGAAAACTGATGCATTTTGTACCTTTTGTTGACATAACTGTAAAGTAGTGTATGAAAACTAACGGTAAAGCGTTTTCCTTTAACAGGTATACATACTAACTACGAGCCGACCAGTCCTTGTTTTAGCCCAAGCGCCAGACAGGGTAACAACAAATACCATCGTTTAACGTCTGTTGGTATGACGCGTTCGGAGATCGATCCCCGGACCTAACGCTCTTACGAGCGGACGCTCTACCACTAGACCACGGAGGCGGTCTCGTCAACAAGCAACGGTGGTGATTAATTAAGTACGAACACAAATTAAACAAATCGATTTGCACCGTCTTTTTTTCCAGTAGTATGCTATGCTTCAGGAAGCATTTCACAGTTATCTTCGTGGTTCTCTAAGGAGTTTTAGACAGCTAATTTTCTACTTGCACAATAAAATCTTGCTTCCACAGGAACTGACCAACGAATCCTCAGCCATGTCAGGTATCTGTAAAACAGCAGTATTGCTATTGAAGAAACGTCAATAATCAATAATGAACAAGAATTAAAAAAAATAGAATCTTTTCTTAAAAAATACAACAGTTAATAATTCTATACGGAAACCCCATCTACATTCCATTCAGTGACACATTTTGTTATTTTGGTTCAGTGAGTGAGTGAGTGAGTATGGTTTTACGCCGCTTTTAGCAATATTCCAGCAATATCACGGCGGGGGACACCAGAAATGGGCTTCACACATTGTACCCATGTCGGGAATCGAACCCGGGTGTTCGGCGTGACGAGCGAACGCTTTAACCACTAGGCTACCCGACCGCCCCTTATTTTGGTTCAGCACATAAACATAAGCTTTATGAAAACACCTTTCATATATATATACAACACCCTTATCAAATTATACTACCTCATCAGCTCCACCCAGAGTCATCCCACTCAGAATATACACCATCTGCATCATAGGATCTGAAATAGAATCAATCTGATTATTAAAAAGAGTGTTTGAAAATTAATTATTTTGTTGTTAAGTTACAGCGGTGGGGTAGCCTTGTTAATAAAACGTTCGCTCGTCACTCAAAAGGCCCGGCCTCAATGCCCCACACCAAGTACAATAGGTGAAGTTTATCGTGTCCCCTGCCGTGATATTGCTGGAATATTGCTAAACGCGGCGTGAAATCCTATTCACTCACTATAGCTGTGTTTCTTACCATGGAAGACACACGGGTTGGTTGACCTGCTTGTTTGTTCGGGACATTTAGGTCCCCCAACGTCTTTCTGAAATACAAAAAAAGGCATTTTGAAAGATTCATTCTTTTCAAAATAACCTAAGGCATACATAAAATTACTTTCAGACCACGTCTGCATTGCGGTGTCATATAATATAGGCTTCTGCTATTTGGAATATTTCATTTAATCATTTCAAAGAACATTTTGACAAACAAAACACAAATATGACACGAACAAGGTTCCCAGATGAGTTTACTCTGTATCACACACGGTGTATACTACTTGTGCATTGAATGGGAAGTTATCTAATTCTAGCAAAGTTACCCTTTCAAAGACTCCAAGATGGTACACGATGTCTCCGAGTTGTTCAATATCTGAAATATTATATTTGCGCAGTGCAGCTTGTGTATAGCATGAACCAACTCAAATTGTAAGTAAGGCTGACATCAAACCACACACACACACACAATCACACACACACACACACACATATTACATTACAGTAAAGCTATAGTTTCTTAACTTATCTTTTATTGAGGATAGAATAGGTCTTCAGCAACCCATGCTTGCCGTAAAAGGCGACTATGCTTGTCGTAAGAGGTGACTAACGGGATCGGGTGGTCAGGCTCGCTGACTTGGTTTATGCATGTCATCGATCCAAATTACGTAGATCGATGTTCATGATGTCAATCACTGGATTGTCTGGTCCAGACTCGATTATTTACAGACCGCCGTCATATAGCTGGAATATTGCTGAGTGCGACCAACTTTATTAAGGAAGAGAATTTATGAATGAGAAATGATAAAGAAGTTGACATCCATAAATTCTCTTCCTTATCAGTATCACTTCTAAATGCCTTTTGAAGACGTAATCCTTTATTTACTTCAATTGTCATTGGGGAAAGGGGAAATGAAAAGGTAGTGTTACCGTGTGGATTAAACTCAGTCTCTTCCGAACTGACTCTTGCACGCGATGGTTCTGTCTGTTTGAGCCATGACTGATTCATTTGTAGCTGTTCCTGAAATAGATATGAACAGCACTTTCATTCAGGATACTGAAGATGAATGCTGCATCTGATAATACATTTTAACACAACGCAACCTTTGTGGAAAGGGTTTAGTTGCTTACAGCTCCCTTTTGAATTTTTTTACTCGTAATCTTTTCAAAATGATTTTTCATTTGGTGACTTTTAATCTTTTACAAAATCTAACATAACGCTGGTCAATCTTACTTTGCATTGCATGACCTCTTTCAAATTAAACTCGTTCCCGCACAAGGCTGAAATACGAATGAAACAACATGTAAGTAAGAATTTTCTATTGCACACAAACTATTCAAATATACGTTTTAGTCACATAAACGTTTTAGACATATAAACGTTTATACAATCCCATAGATCCAATCTAGATAGTACCTGGAGTCGTTTTAAGAAAGAGGTACAGTAAACTACGGTTATAACGAACACGCTTACAACGAACTGACGGATATAACGAACTTACTTTTTGGTCCCGACTATTTACTGTAGTTATGCTGTATATATGCTTATAACGAACTACGGTTATAACGAACTAAAATTAGTAGTCCCTTTGAGTTCGTTATAACCGTAGTTTACTGTAGTTCGAGTAAGCGGAGATTACACTTGTTTGTCGAACTTACGTTTTGCCTCCTGTATTTGTGGAGGACTTGGTTGTACATTCCCCGCGTCCTTTGACTGGTCAAAGGTATCATGTTGAACATGAACAATGAAGTTTGCCGTTATCATTTTACATAGAGCAGGGTCCATAAAGAGTGAATGAGGAAGAGATACCCACATCGCCTGTGTTGCCAAGGCATTTACTTGTGACCTCAGAGACTCCTCTAACTTGAATTCTGATTCCTCCACAACTCCATGGACAAGACTAAAATTGGGTTTTATCTCTCTTCGCATGAACGTTTTCACTTTACGAGCTAGAGCAGAGTTGTATAACACAGTTGTGGAGTCGTGTTGAGAGGTCACGGATATCAAAAGTAACGGCTGAGATGGCCTAAAAATGCAAACATCAAAGAGTAAGGAAGATGGCGGTGTCTGCTTTGTGCTTAGCGTTTCTAAAACACAGGTGTTTCCATACACAACTGTATGTGTATCACTCAGTAGTTTAACTAAGCCCTTTTCCACATGTTTGTGAGATGACGCTAAGAACTCCCGAAATCCTTGTGGATAGATGTGTAGCCCTGAAAAACCATATGTGTAATTAGAACAGTGCAAAGGGGTATTCATGATCAGGACATGTTTCTGAAATATAGCTACTGCAGTGAATGAGATAAAATTTACTTTGCATCAGTAATATTACAGCCACCATTTGACCTATTGCAGGAATACAGGCTACATCTAGTTGTGGGTTTGGTTGGTTGGTTTGTTGTTTTACGCAGCACTCAGCAATATTCCAGCTATATGACGGCGGTCTGTAAATAATCGAGTCTGGACCAGACAATCCAGTGATGTATATCATGAGCAACGATCCATGCAATTGGGATCGATGACATGCTTCAACCAAGTCAGTCAGCCTGACCACCCGATCCCGTTAGTCGCCTCTTACGACAAGCATAGTGGCCTTTTACAGCAAGCATGGGTTGCTGAAGACCTCTTCTACCCCGGAACTTCACGGGTCGCTACATCTAGTACATGTCTTTACCAAACGGACATAGAGTTTTGAAAATCTGAGATCTTGTTTTTGAGTGATAATTATTATACCAAAAGATATGTTTAATAAGGGATTGTCATCTTATGGGGGTAACTGGGGGAAAAACTGTCCTAAATAAAATTGTTGAATGTATTAATTATGCTTTATAATGTTGAAAAAAGGATTGGCTGCCACAAAAATGACATTGTTGCAATGTGTCCTTCTTAAAAAACAATAATATCAAATGGTCGGTCCATTATGATCTTGCAATGATTTGTAGTAGATTTAGATACCTTTCAATTCATCACTTGTCATTTTTACCGTTTCCTCTTCTGTCAGTGTAAACTGTTGATGGGCATCTGCATAATAAAGAAGTGTCATCAAACGCACTACCTGGTAAGATGCGATGTGTTATATGTATGTTTGTTCGATACATTAACAAAACACCCAAACTTTGTGTTATTCTCTTAAAATTCTGCCAGTTATTCTCAAACATTTGAACGTGAAGGCAGGACATTTATACAGTCGGATGACCGCCAGCAGACCGATGGGTTTTTTTTTCACATGGAACGAATATGGAATGTCATTAAATACTTAATGAAATGCCTTTGTTTTTCAAGCAAGTTTATGGTGGCAGATTATCTTGTGACATCAATAATTTGTTTAACGGCGCACTCAGCTATATAACGGCGGTCTGTAAATAATCGTGTCTGGACCAGACAATCCAGCGATTGACATTATGAGCATCGATCTACGCAGTTGGGATACTATGACATATATCAATCAAGTCTGACCCCCTATTTGTGAGTCGCCTATTACGACAAGCATAATCGCTTCTTACGACAGGCATGGGTTCCTGAAGACCTATTCTATCCCGGATCTTCGCAGATAGTGTCATCAATGACAATGACAAGAAGTACGTCTAAAAGAATGCAGTATTGAAAGTAATATTACCTCTTTCTACGTCATGTTTTGGTTGTAAGACGTTCGTCTCAACACGTGTTGCCATGCATTCAGGATGCGCGTCCTCATCTGATGATTGATAAGGAGAAGAAACATATGAATCTGATGATTCAGATTCCTCATCTGACTGACACGGCGACAGTATGAATGTATCTGATGATACAGGTTCCTCATCTGACTGACACGGCGACGGTAGGAATGTATCTGATGATACAGGTTCCTCATCTGACTGACACGGCGACGGTAGGAATGTATCTGATGACATATTTAACAGATCTTGGTTGTTATCCAGGCTATTGAAATATGTGTCCAAGCATAACCAAATCCGCTTCTTAAGCAGTGCAACGCACTACCCAAAACATTTCATGTAAAATATGATTCCATAAATAACTAGGTGTGCATTACCTTCAGTATGTCAAACAATATGTACGGGTAGCACAGGACGGTGAATGTGCACTGCATCACATAGTTCACACGGTCCTTGAGCAGGCACGTACTATTTAAAACTCGTGATATAGCGCCTTAGTTTTTCCACCCATTCCTTACACTGCATTCTCTCAATTTTGTTATCTTGCACTTTGTAAGCTCGAGGACCCCTCTTGTCAAAGAAAACAATGCCCTCAAAATAGTTCACCACAACTTCTAACACATACCGTGGTGGAGATGTATCTGGAAGGTCATGAAACTTGACGTCTATGATGTCTAAGTTTGCAACATCATTGCAGAATGTACCATCTTGGTACATGACAGACACATCTGACTGGTATTTATTAAGAATACCGTTCTGCAAATCTGCTTTCCCAATCTTCAGCTCAAATCCATGAATCTCTGGAACCTTGATTTTGTAGAGCAAGTCATCACGATCCAGAGAATGGTATTTGACATACTCAGTCGTCTCTCCAATACCAACAAAAATCTTTCCCCCTCCAACAACTTTGGACATTGAAGAAATATTGACTCCTAGTTTAAGGTCATACCAAATGTAACCAACAAGCTTTGAAATATCAGTTCCAAATTCTTCAACTTTGTCTGCTACAAGAGCCTTCAGTTCAGTGGTCCTGCATTCGTTGAGGGAGGACAAGTCAGTGATATTTGCGCTTTGAGGTGAATGACTGTACTTGGAGACGTTTTTGGACAAGAGGTCATAAAATGTAAACGCCGACAGATTTGTTTTTTCACAATCAGTGGATACCTTTGTGTTAAAGTCGACAGTTGATACACCCTTTGTCTTCCCTACTGTTATTTGTAGAAAATGTTTGCTCTCATTTGAAGTTTGTATCCAGTTACTGATCCACTGACGTGTATATGTATCTACGTACAAACCATTATCACCAATTAATTCAGTGAAGCGCAATGTTACAAGTTCATCAAAATGTCCAAGATATCTGTCGCTTGGGTCATGTCCAATAAAATGTACCAATATTGATCCACCATCAGTGTTCTGTAAGGCTGATACTATTTTCACTAGTTTATCTAGTGTCCTCTTCTTCTTCCGTTTGACTTCCTTCTGCACAACCTTCAACCTTTTATCCTTCTTCCCATCTGTTGCCTCCAACCCAAATATAGCAATGTCGATGTGTAGTGCGAAGATATTTGGTTCTGAGTTTTTCCCTACAATTTCAATTTCTATGGATCTGCACACGTCACATGGGGTAGCATCCTCTTCTGTTGACATCTGTGTCTGTCTGTGGGTTCATATGAACTCACGGCATAGACACCAGTACCTACATATATATGTAAATACAAGTTATTGAACAAATAAACACAAGCATGATACCATTCTTCACATTATGAAATCTATCCATTTCCGTGTTTATATTAAATTTACCAAACATGAAATATACACGCTTTTGTGAACAATGTTATTTGACATATTTGATGGTAAAACTTTGATTATATTAAGAATATCATAATGTGTAGACATATGTGACAGTTTTACGTGTGTGACGTACTTCAAATATTTAAACATCCTGGTGTTTTCCATTGTCACTAACGCTCACATTAATGATGTAAATGAATATACTTATCTGTGCATATATTACAAGTATGCATTACAATATATCATATAGGTATACATATGCCTTCACGTTAAGGATCTATTTCACACACAATTAGGTGTCAATTACTTTACATATTTGCAGGACCGCCTCCGTGGTCTAGTTGTAGAGCGTCCGCCCGGAGAGCGGAAGGTCCGGGGTATTCATGTTAAACTGTGGCATGGTATCTCAGTGAGCTAGCACTATAAATCGGCATCAGTCCGGACTGGTACAAGCAGCCACACAAAGACACACACGTACATGCACGTCGCTATATAAGTACAATAATCTTGGACGCGACGTTAAACCCAATTTCACCTCACCTTACATACATGTATTTGCAAGTCATTGTTGTAACATATTAATTTTGGGCGGAAAAAGAGTGTCATGAATACCCTGACTTGTCTTCTTGATAAAAGCACACTAGGACAATCTCTGAACACTTACGTTTTGAAGATCTGCTCTCTAACTCCTGGCTGTGTGGCCATGTAGGTTCCTGTAGCTTAGGTTTCAAGTCACCACCACACGCGACACTCTCTAATAAACACCTTGACATATGTAATTCAACAATTCATTCAACCGTGGACACTATACAAAAAGGATCCCCGGAGCAACATTTCAATAGAGACTTTGCCCCACTTAATTTTGAATCGCTTGACTACCTCCAGGGATAGACATACCTACTGTCTGGTCGAGGCAGTCTTCCGGTTGCACAATACACTGAGAGGCGTGTAGCAAGGGAATAGATAGATTTCAGTACTTGTTGAACTGTGTGAACCTCTTGTGTTTTCTTGAGTCACTATTGGTTTATAAGTCAGTAGGCATTGCTGTCCTGCTGCCCAGAGTGAGTGAGTGAGTGAGTGAGTGAGTGAGTGAGTGAGTGAGTGAGTGAGTGAGTGAGTGAGTGAGTGAGTGAGTGAGTGAGTGAGTGAGTGAGTGAGTGAGTGAGTGAGTGAGTGAGTGAGTGAGTGAGTGAGTGAGTGAGTGAGTGAGTGAGTGAGTGAGTGAGTGAGTGAGTGAGTGAGTGAGTGAGTGAGTGAGTGAGTGAGTGAGTGAGTGAGTGAGTGAGTGAGTGAGTGAGTGAGTGAGTGAGTGAGTGAGTGAGTGAGTGAGTGAGTGAGTGAGTGAGTGAGTGAGTGAGTGAGTGAGTGAGTGAGTGAGTGAGTGAGTGAGTGAGTGAGTGAGTGAGTGAGTGAGTGAGTGAGTGAGTGAGTGAGTGAGTGAGTGAGTGAGTGAGTGAGTGAGTGAGTGAGTGAGTGAGTGAGTGAGTGAGTGAGTGAGTGAGTGAGTGAGTGAGTGAGTGAGTGAGTGAGTGAGTGAGTGAGTGAGTGAGTGAGTGAGTGAGTGAGTGAGTGAGTGAGTGAGTGAGTGAGTGAGTGAGTGAGTGAGTGAGTGAGTGAGTGAGTGAGTGAGTGAGTGAGTGAGTGAGTGAGTGAGTGAGTGAGTGAGTGAGTGAGTGAGTGAGTGAGTGAGTGAAACGCCCGAAGTGATTCGTGTATTAAACGCAAGCCAATTTCAGGATATTGTATTTTCACTTTCAAAATTTCTAATATTTTTAAAATGGTAACCAATTTCCCTGTGCAGAACATATATCATTTACATTATTAAATTAATTAATTTATATATTCAATCTTTGAAAAATACAATGGAAACACATCCCAAATCTTCTGAAAATGTGATATATTACAGGACAATGGCTGAAAACAAGTGATTCAACCTAAGAAAATGGGCTTGTGTACTTAAGTAGACAAAACACCACCTTCCCATGTCGTGACGTCATATTTATCAAGGATTAATTAACAGCTATGAATAAATAAATGTTATCACTTTACTTTACAGAACGAATGTGGACCATAAATGGCCAATCATTTGACAGCGAGAAAATTATTTGTTTAATGTTTGATCACCTCAGAAGGTCATCTTATGAAACCGTCCTAATAGGTCTTCAGCAACGCATTCTTGCTGTAAAAGACTATGCTTGTCGTAAGAGGCTCGGGTGGTCAGACTCACTGACTTGCTTGATGCATGTCATCGATCCCAATTGCGTGGATCGATGCTCATAATATCAATCACTGAATTGTATGATCCAGACTTGATTATTTATAGAACGCCGTCATGTAGCTTGAATATTGCTGAGTCTGGCGTTACACAACAAACAAACAAACAAACAAACAAACAAAACCTAATTTGAATATGACACTGAGAGGAATGCACATATGCTAACGGGACTGTCCCTTCTGGTCATCTGTCCGGCACTCCCAAAGGAGTTAGAACCTTGACCATAACATGCAAACCGATATTATCACCACCCTATCAAAAACATACATTGTATACATTTGTTTGTTATGAAGAGAATGATACCTTTAATATCATTTATCCTAGATCATCACATGGAAACGGTTCAGATCTTTATGTTACATGATTGTGTAAATATCCAGGTGAGCGATACAGGCCCTATGGCCCTCTTGTTTGTTTAACGCCACACTCAGAAATATTCCAGCTATACGATAGCGGTTTTTAAATAGCCAATTGTATGGACAAGACAATCCAGTGATTGACATCATGAGCATCGATCTACGCAATTGGGATACAATGATATGCTTGAACCAACTCAACGTGCCTGACTTTCCGATCCCGTTAATTACCTCTTATGACAAGCACAGTCGTCTCGTACGGCAATCATGGTTGTTAAAGACCTATTTATGACCGGATCGTCACGGGGGGAGACGAGCATGGGTTGCTGAAGACCGGTACTGACCCGAATCTTCCTGTGTCTGTCTACTGTGCACTTAGTTTTATGTCATCATCATTATGGTCAGGTTTAAGTAATACCTGTCAGGTGTACCTTGCTCATTACTGGGTTTTCACGTGAGAGTGTTAGTAACATTATTAAAGCGCCATTCATCAGTTATACTTCTGTTATTCTTGCAGGCAGTGACATAAGTTTTGATTAAAAATTGTCAATGTCAGTAGCAATATAATCTACCTGGCAATGTTCTTCAAAGGTGGGGCGGTCGGGTAGCCTAGTGGTTAAAGCGTTCGCTCGTCACGACGAAGACCCGGTTCGATTCCCGACATGGGTACAATGTGTGAAGCCCATTTCTGGTGTCCCCCGCCGTGATTATTGCTGGAATATTGCTAAAAGCGTCGTAAAACCAAACACACTCACTCTTCAAAGGTAGGTTATACGTTCTTCTTTCGCAATGTGTTTTCTTAGACAATGCCATTTGAGCAAATGTTAAGCAAATAAAATACTTGACACTTTAACTGTAAAAGCTGTGAATATATTTTTTCTTCTGTGTCTTCAAAAGTTTAGTCACCAAACTTGTTTTATACAATACATAACCGATCAGTATCTGTGTCATCGAAATGCAGATACCTTCGGTACAGGCTGTCCTTTGTCACGAGGACGAATCATGTCATTCGGGACAAACTCGTGCCATTCCGGGACAAGCCGAATGGAGACTCGTGACCCTCTCAGAGCATTCGTCACCACTCGCCCCTTTCCGTAACCTGCAAGAAGACTCGTCCCCCTATCGATGAATGTTATGTGCGAAAATACGACAAACCAATCAGAGTGCGCGTATGATTTCAAGTACTTCGTCAAAGAATCCCTCAGAAATAATTTTTGATTTTACATATGTCTTGCATCTAAAAATATACCCAAGACACAGTTAAATGTGTTCAATCATACTGTATAATTCCGCACGTCCCGATGTGCTTTAAAAGGCATCTGAAATATATATAATATATGGGGAAATATATGTGAACCATTACGCAACGAATTGACAATTGTTCTTGTTATGCCCGTTTGCGCTAAGACGGAACCCGGTCGCAAAAATGGCCACGAGAGGGGCACGAGTCGCTATTCGGCTTGTCCCGGAATAACACGAGTTGGTCACGAATGCCTCTCAGAGGTTTCCATATACGCGTATGAACACGAGAACTACTTCAGACAAGGACGACAACTCTTATTCTACCCGCGTCTTATAGTAAAATTAATGAAGGCGCTCTCTTATTCCTGTTTTAAAAGTAGTGAACGTCTCTCATATATAGATATATTCTTATGCACAAATGAATATTTGTCAAACCATTCAACCCCCTTCATTCTCATGTTTTACTTGAAAATTATACATTTTGAAATATGTGATTAAATTTAGACAAAGAAAACTGAAAGAGGAAGGTGATTCCATCTATGTGATATTTTCTACACTAAGGCAAGAAGTTTGGTTTGTTAGTTTTTTAACGCCGCACTCAGCAATATTCCAGCTATATGGCGGCGGTCTGTACATAATCGAGTCTGGACCAGACAATCCAGTGATTAATATCAAGAGCATCGATCCACGCAATTGGGATCGATGACACGCATCAACCAAGTCAGCGAGCCTGACCACCCGATCCCGTTAGTCGCCTCTTACGACAAGCATAGTCGCCTTTTACGGCAAGCATGGGTTGCTGAAGACCTGTTCTACCCCGGATCTTCACGGGTCGCTACATCTAGTACATGTCTTTACCTAACGGACATAAAGTTTTGAAAGTCTGAGATCTTGTTTTTGGGTGATAATTATTATACCAAAAGATATGTTTGATAAGGGATTGTCATCTGATGGGGGTAACTGGGGGAAAAGGTGTCCTAAATAAAATTGTTGAATGTATTAATTATGCTTCATAATGTTGCAATTTGTCCTTACGAAAAGCATAGTCGTCTTTTACGGCAAGCATGGGTTGCTGAAGACCTCTTCTACCCCGGAATCTTCACGGGTCCTAAGGGAAGAAGTAAACATCCCAGCGGGCACCAATGGTGCTACCCGTTTGCCTGTAGTATCTTGATGCATATGGGTCGGAAATTCTGCTCGGGTTGGCTTCATAAAGAAGGGAATCTGGCCAAGATTCAATAGCGGTCAAATAGCCGACTGATTTACCCACCTGACCTTGAAATAAAAGTGACCAATCAGTGAACCCGCCTCATCTGTTTCATATTTAGATCTCTGCATAACGCTTCACGGTGGCAAGGACATCTCAAGAATACTCTATGACAAGAGGGATTTCCACTTAGATTTGAAACAGCGTCACGTGACTCTTGCTCAAAAGTTAAATTCAGAGTAAAAACATTCAAGGCCTCAGTAAAGCTTTCAATAAGCTTTATCGGGTAGCCTAGTGGTTAAAGCGTTCGCTCGTCACGCTCGTCACGCCGAAAACCCGGGTTCGATTCCCAACATGGGTACAATGTCCCCCGCCGTGATATTGCTGGAATATTGCTAAAAGCGGCGTTAAACCATACTCATTCACTCACTCAATAAGCTATATGGTCCACATGGTGCCAATTTCCAATTTTGACGCATCAATGACAAAAATGATGACCGATTTAATCCCTTATTTGACTTGTATTATGTGTTATACCGTGATGTGTTTTTTCAGGTGAGCGCTTGCCTTGGCTTGCCATGTGTTTGTGACGGGTGCCACTGGTGAGGCAGGGTAATTTCACCTTTTCCGCGAACACAAGGTATCATCACTATTTCATAGTAATCCATACAAACATGCATAAATGTTTAATTTGAAGTTTACACGAAATACGGCTTTTCCATTGGATGAAAG